TTTAACCCCCCCCCCCCCCCCAGCATATGCGTTGTAGAATTGCGACAATGACCCCTTACCAACTAGCCTGAATATATTTTAACCTTATGTCCCGTAGCCAGTTATCTCGTCGTGTGTTATCAAATTTAACTAAGTTTGGTTCAGATTTTAGGAAAAAACTGCTCATTAATATTGTGTACAGCTTATTAAAATATATATCTTCATTTTCTTAAGAATATATGAAAGAACAAATCAAATTGTGAATTGTGTGCCTCCTCATAGTTAACTTTGTAATGAAGGGGGGATTTAAGTTCTAGAGAACATTTACAAAAACTCACTGAACCCAGTAATAACTGCTGTGGAATGACCAACAACAATTTTGTTGGTTTAAATTATTGTTTTGTTATTATATGTGAAAAATGCAAAATAATGTTAACTATTTGAGCATGATACAAATATAATCCGGCTCCGGCATTCTTTTCAAAATGTATAAGGTCCAAACAAAAGTCATTATAATGCTCCACACTGCCGTAGGTTAGGATGTACATGTACAGTTAGTGAAAAAATACCTTACTTCGTCACATCTTTAATTAAATTAAAAACAGGGCTTATAAAGTTTACCATAATTATTTTTTATTACTATTATTATAAGTCTAACTCTGACAAAGAAGCATCAGGAAAAATGGGTAAGCTCTTTCTATTACTTTTGTGGTGTCAACTTCATTTTGATGGTTTTCTTTTACAGTTAACGGATTCGTCCATGTAGGCTATAAAGGTGTTGCGAAGTGCAAAAAAAATGTTAAAGTTAACGTTTTGGCAGATAAAACAATTTCACCTTCAGAGAATGGTAGATTTCTAACCAATGATTGTAAGTTGAAAAATAGTAATATGAACCAATGATATTTAAGCAACTCCATCTTATTATCAGTAAACATTTAGGAAATGCTATGTCCAAGCGATTAAAACCAAATTTCCAATAGTCTCTTTTCCTTCAAAGGTGAGGTGACTGGACATTTGGTTCATTTTTTATGCAAAGAAAGCTTGGATGCATGCTTCACTGTTCGAGCAACAGGTGTCTGCTTATAGCTATTTGAGTATTAATATATTGCAAGTTGCTTTTAGTCATACTTTTTCTTGGCCTTAAAATATAATAAACGTGCCTCTATGAGCATAAGTAATACGAATATCATTTCAACATATGAGAAATAATGTGCAGTTGCAAAAATACGGACAAAGGGAATACTACCATGCACGTGCAGATGGAGAGAGAGAAAGAGAGCTCTGGAATGAAATTCTGTGCTAGACAACAGGGGTGGTGGATAAACTGCGTTCTTCTTGTGTCCGTCCATTCATAATAAGCCGAACACGCACAAACTGGCGTAATTTAAATAGACCGGCACACAAAATCAGTGGTTATATAATTATACTAGTACTTAAACGCATTATGGCATTTGCATTTGATTAAATACTTGTAATCTGTTTCAATAAAACCATCGCCATCGTCGTGTGCGATAAAAATCAATCTGTGACCCTGGTACAGTATGGATTAGGGAGAATCTGTAGTATAGCCATGAATGAACTCATTCTTATTTTCCTCTCTGTTATACTCATTTACACCAATGCGTGAATTAAAGCAGATACTTTATTGAAAGACGAGAGAGAGGTGAAACCTTGTGATTCCAGCTCGTGTCTTGTCACTCCTCAGATCTAGTTTCTATCATGCTTGCTCGGAGCTTGAGAGCAAAAAGGGAATTATGTTACCCGATATTTTTTAGTATTTATTTTTTTACAGTACAATAATTTTTACTGTACTTTTTCATATTGATGTCATTATGCAGGTATTGCCAGTGATAGCCTAAAGTTATTATCTGTTGTGAATAAATTTAAGTGCGGAATGCCTTCCATTTATAAGAGAACCTTGCTCCCTAGAGTTATGAAGGAGAGAAAGAGAAGCGGGTGGTGTTAGGGTCACCCGTTTTATTGTCATTTTTCGATCTACAAAGAGAAGGCTCTCAATACCCTCGTCCAACCCTATCCGAGTGAAAAGTTAAAAATGGTGACCTATGCAAGAGCCTTTTGGGGAGCTGAGGAGATCACGATTTTTTTATCATTATTTCAAAAGCGTGCCAAAGACATTAACACCCCCCCCCCCCCACCACCACCATATGAGTTGTACATTTGCGAAAATGGCCCTTTATAAACTACCGAGAATATATTTAAGCTTGTGTTCGGTAGCCAGTTATCTTCTTGTGTGTTATCTTTATTATCTAAGTTTTGTACTGATTTTAGGAAAAACCTGCCCATTAATATTGCGTACAGCTCTTTTGAAAGCCTTTGCATTTTCTTGAGAAAATATGAATTACAAAAAGTGTGGGTTGTCTGTCACCCAGTAGCTAAACTTCGTAATATTTGCATGCATATCTACATGCATTTAGTAACCAAACACATTGAAGGCGAAGTTCTACTATATGATCAGCAGCATTACACACATAATTACATTTCACATCTAAGATATCTTAAGAATCTGCATTTTCCTGGTCGTTTGGTGTAGTTTTTTATCCAAAGCAAGCTTGTGTCCGTCCATTGATAATGAACCAAACAGGCGCAAATCGGTGTAGCTCAATAGGCACATAAAATAAGTGGTTTTGTATTTATACTGATATTCAAACACGTTATGGTATTTACATAAAACTTTGATTAAATACTTGTAATCTGTTTCAACGAAATCATCATCATCTCCGTCTACTACATGTACATGTACATTCAGTTTAAACATCAACAGGTTTCTGCTGACAACCAATGACAATAGGCTTGTAGACGTGGGGATTTGGGAGAGGCAGTATAGCTATGAATAAACCCATTCGAATTTCCCCTCTGTGATTCAATCATTAACACCAAGTTGAGTAGAAAAAAAAAGTATTAGGTGAAATTAGCCAGTTGATCTTTTTTTATTTTTTTTAATTATTCTTGACCTGTATTTAAAAGCAATTAACGTACCTTCATCACCATAAGTAACACGACCATAATTCCCACAATTGCAAAAAATCTAAATTAGCGATATATCGGCAATTTCAATTCATGAAAGTAGAAAGACGCTCTGAGCGTAGCTCTTTACTGACTTTTACTGAGGGTACATGTAGCAATTATAAGAGGGTCCTGGGCGCTTTGCCACCTGGAGGTCAGTGAGCAACAGCATCCACTCACATCAGTCAGATGACATACGTCCAGGCTGGCCGTAAACTAAAGGCATGGAAATATTTCACCTTGTGTTATATGATTATCATATTACTAATGTAACTGCTTCACAGTTAATGGATATCATAGATATAAATTGATGTTCAATGTCTTACAATTTAACTTGATGATTTTAATCGAAAGGCGCTGGCGTGACTACAGGCTGGTTATTTTATCATACTTTACATGATCTTGACGAGATGTTTTTCTCAACGGCAAATATTTGCAGTGCAGGTACACTGGAATACATATTCGTGCATATCCAACACACCTACCCGTATATTCTTTTCAAACAGAGACGTATCTACGGAATACGATTGAAAATACTAAATTTCTTTTCTAGAATGGTTCACAGAAGTGATTTGTGAATAAAATTTAATGTGATATTTTTGGAGGGTCACAATAAACATTTTAAAATCTGCAAGTCTTATTCTAAAGAGTACCCAACAACCGAAGACTTGATGTTGGGGGGGGGGATTGACAGCAATAATTTAACTCGTTGTAAGTTTCGACCCTGTTTTTGTGCTGCATTTTTAACAAAATCCTTTTCCCCCGAAAACAGATAATGCGGGTAAAATTGAAATAAATAATTATCGTGGAATTAACCCTAGATATGTTCTATGTCCTAGTGTATTTTTTCCTCTTTTTTGTGGCCCAATCTTTGTTTTTCTAGGTTGGGAGGGGGGTGACATCAATAAATTTACTCATTGTAAGTTTCTGTTCTCTTAACCAGAGATATTATCTGTATTCTAATGTACATGTTTTCTTTCCTCTCCTTGTTTTTTCTGGGTCGGCTAGTACGTTTTCTTCACTTTCGCAAAAATGGTAGACTATTTCAACAGAATATTCCGTCTGCGATTTCAGTATGATCAAAGTAAAATCCTCTTTTTATATTTGTCCACTATCAACTCATATTGGCAGCCACTTACAAAAATAAACAAAAACATGAACGCAGAAAGATTCCATAATTCCGCTATGCCTGTCAAGTCCAACGATATAGGTATAGTGGAAATGATCAAGTGAAATGAACTTCTCACGAGAAATTATAGTAAAGAACAAAGATGGACTATATAAACATGGTAAATTTGACCAGCAATCTGTCCCCTTTTTATAGATGATGCTTGGTATAAGATATTCACAACAGTCAATTTTAATCTCAATTTAAATTCGTTAAAGCAACGCCTTTCCGTGAGCTGTTATTTGGCGTGTTGCACATATTCTGGGTGTAACAGAAGGTTGAAACGCAGGTCTATCAGCATATCTTACAAGAAGATCATTTAGGTACAAAAAGTGTGGGGGTTGCAAAAATGAGGGTGCAAAAACCGAATTTTAGATTATTATGATAATTAAACACACTAAAATTAAGATGCAGATAATTTTATTGGACAGTGAGGGAATTCGCAGAGGGAAAATTCCCTTTCGCAAGCTACTGATTGGTTAATTCTTCTCAAACAGTAAATGACAGCCAACATTGAGAATTGTCTATAAAATTACGAGTATATTGAACTTATTATCAGATCCACAGTCGTCTCTGACAACCAGTAGATCAACATTTTGCCAGAAATCAATTCAGCAGCTTCAGAACTATCATTTGAAGGTGAAGATGATCAGATCAATTGCCCTTTGTCTTGTTTTGATGGCGGTGTCACTATGTGCAGTCGATGGTGCCCGTAAGTACAAAAACTTTTTACATTATTATTTCAAAGAAAGATGATATGGTTTCAAGTTGTCATGACTGGCAAAGGAGAAGTCAAACCTTTGAAAATATTGGAAGATGTACACAATGCAAAGCAAATTATATTTAGTCACTTGGTCTAGTCGATGTTATTTAGAAAAGCAAACGTCATTTTATTAGTCCCTATTTCGACAGCATTATGATTTTAAACATTTTACAGTTCGGCCTTAAATTAATAATTCTTTCCATGTGATCCGACATGTACTAAATTCACGGCCTACCAGTTTGCAATTATAATAACAATAATAATGATCAAGTTATTCAACCATTGTTAGCCTAAATTTATTGAAAAAAAAATACACATAAATTTGGAAACTTTTTCACCATCTTGGATTTATGCATGATTAAATAAATGAAAAGAAAAAAGTTTAGAGTAATCGGTAAAAATATGTCATACTATTAAAGAAAGATGTAGCGGTTGGATAAAAACTTCAAAGCAGTTTGCTTCGTTAGTCTACGTCTAAAAGATAAAAGTCTACAATTGAAAATTTCATACGCAGGGTGAGCAGTATCTTTAATAATCTTTGCTGTTTTGGAAGCCACCATTTCCATATAAATGCCTCTAAGAGCGGGGAGATCCAGATTTGCTTGTCACGGTAGACATGCTCTGTAGTTGGCTAACTCCATTTTGTACCCAACAAACATTTGAATTTCCTCTTTGGATTCGATACTAAGTACCATTAGGAAAAGAGGAGGGGTTGAAACCTACATACTTTTCGAGATATATGGAGGATTAGAGAATCGTTTAGAACCATCTGAAGTAATGTGACGAGAATTTATGAAAATTTGGAGTTCCTAAATCCTCGTAAAGACAAAATATTCTGCCATTTCTTGGAAGGTAAACTGTCAACTGCTCATGCTTTAGCCATCCATGAATTACCGAATTTTAATTTGTCTATTAATTCTCCCTTTTTATTTTATAGCAACGACCGATATGCCACCTTTATGCGGGAACAATACAAGGTGCTGCAGGATTGAAAAAAACAACGTGACTCGCTGCAAGAATACCCCGAGTCCAAATAGCCAAGGTATTGCACCTTGCCCCAAGCCCTGGTCCTGTATTTGTGTTCCAGAAGGTGAGGACTTTCATAACAATGTCTATTGCATTAAGCGCATTTGCAAATATATCAATACAATGTGCATTTATAGGTGAATCGCAACACTTTTTTATTATTATTGTAGGTGTGTGTGTGTAAAAATCAACGCGTATTGAAACATAAATTAAAAACTGAATATTGTAACAAAGAAGTTTGCTATTCAGTTTTTATTCTTTTTCTAATAAATGCCCATTTTTTCTTTTGGTATTATTCAACAAAAATATTTCCTCTGCTATGTTTTTTACCCCTAGATTGCACTTATTTTATCACCAAACAATAGTTATCATGGAATCCCATATATGTTTTACTGCAGCGCTAATGATGATACCCCCACATTTATTATTCGGCTGACATTCCGTAATGTATAATATTGCTTTCTTTTATTTTTTCTCCTAGAGCCACTGGCATGTCGTAAGTATAACGTAAAAACTAGATTAATTTGACATGCAGTTTGCTTCCTATCTATTACTATTTATTACAAGCTAACTAAATTATGTTTTTATCATAATTGAAAAAATTGCGGTAGTGGATATTAGCTTACGGTCCACATAATACATGGAGACTCGTTCAAAAAGTTTAGCGAATAGATAAAACAAGTTAATGTGATTGGGAATTGGTGTGTGTGTGTGTGTTTGTGAGTGTGTGTGTTTTGATGTTAACAGACTTAAGTTCTTTACTCATATATGCTGGCAAAAGTTTTGCAATATATAGATTATTTGTTTGTAAAATATTAATGAGCCTTTTCTTACATATCTCTTGTTATCAATTTTCAGCTGAACTTACAACACAGTGTCGTAAGTATGATATCTTGTAAAGCACTTACCAGTGTGTAGAAAAAGAAAATAAATAGGAAAAAACGATGATATATCGAGTTGTTTGTGGTCTCATAGCTACGTAGCTTACCGTTATGCTTTTCCAAATGTTTACTTACTGTCTATTTAGTATATTATGTTTTAACATAATAAAATTAAAATTATTAAAAATCGTCTTATATCCACGTTTTAAACTTTATTATTATTATTTTTGGTATATAATAATAATAATAATAATAATAATAATAATAATAATAATAATAATAATTATTATTATTATAGCTCTTACATAATCCATTTTCCTATATATATTATATAATGGCTGAATAAATTATTATAAGTACTTAAATGTTCATTTTGGTGGGCAATGTGAAACTTAAAATATGTATATTTGTCACTTTCAGCGGATGTTCAACAAGTCACGTGTGATGGTACAGCTTACACCTTCACCGACAGCCATCAATTTGTCGCCGTCAATTTAGCACCGTTGCGATACTACATCAGCTACACCGGGTGCAACGATGTCATTATATCCACATGTAACACCGCCGACTACGACACAAAGCTGGCTCTTTTTGCCTGTGATGCGTTGTCTAATACTGAATCCGGTGGGAGTCAGACATGCAACATCTACCAAGAGTACAGTCTGTACTATAACGACTACGACAACAGGTGTTCTGGTTACACCTCTTTGATTCAGATTCCCGAAGGAGAGCTAGCCATTGGAACGTATGCAATAGGTGTGTACGGGTACGACACCAGAGAAGGGACCTTTACGGTGTCTATCACTTGTTAGAGATTTCACGGTCGTTGAGCGCAACCAAGAAATTGAACTGTGGGCATGACCCGCTCGAGAATAACTGAATTGCCAGAGACTGCATTTGTATTCCAGATTATATCAAGTTTATCGTAAAGACCAAATCACTGAAATACTAGTATCCAGCTGATCGAATGAAAAATGATGAATTATAAAAGTTGAGATGAAGATTATATCCTTACATAAGTCATTAATAAATCTCTGCCAATTCACTGATAGTTTTTATATTTTCTCTCCAAATACTGAATTATATAAAACTATAAAAAGTTAAATATAGATTATTTTTCAATTATTCAGAGGTACATGCCGTTTCATTTATATTAGAAACCCCCCCATTGATGATTTACCTGTCCTAAGAGTTGAGGTCTGAAATTTGTCACTGAAAGCCCACCAGGCACTTAAAATCATATGGTCATTTATCCGCGAGGAGCCTATCGTAAGTAGATATATCTTAATGCGTTTCCAGGCCTACCCAACTACCAGACTCGGCACCTAAGGATCCTGAATTAACCGGTATATCGGACCACGCTACCCGTTTTCAAGGTATGTGTCAGATCGCATTTCGGAGTATCATACCCCAGAACAAATTTTGTAGCATGACTGCAGGCTCATCCACGCTCGGCTGAACAACAATAAACTGTAANATGAAGCCTTAGCTTACGGTCCACATTATACATGGAGACTCGTTCAAAAAGTTTAGCGAATAGATAAAAAAAGTTAATGTGATTGGGAATTGGTGTGTGTTTGTGTGTGTGTTTGTGAGTGTGTGTGTGTTTTGATGTTAACAGACTTAAGTTCTTTACTCATATGTGCTGGCAGAAGTTTTGCAATATATAGATTATTTGTTTGTAAAATATTAATGAGCCTTTTCTTACATATCTCTTATTATCAATTTTCAGCTGAACTTACAACACAGTGTCGTAAGTATGATATCTTGTAAAGCACTTACCAGTGTGTAGAAAAAGAAAATAAATAGGAAAAAACGATGATATATCGAGTTGTTTGTGGTCTCATAGCTACGTAGCTTATCGTTGTGCTTTTCCAAATGTTTACTTACTGTCTATTTAGTATATTATGTTTTAACATAATAAAATCAAAATAATTAAAAATCGTCTTATATCCACGTTTTAAACTTTATTATTATTATTTTTGGTATATAATAATAATAATAATAATAATAATAATAATAATAATAATTATTATTATTATAGCTCTTACATAATCCATTTTCCTATATATATTATATAATGGCTGAATAAATTATTATAAGTACTTAAATGTTCATTTTGGTGGGCAATGTGAAACTTAAAATATGTATATTTGTCACTTTCAGCGGATGTTCAACAAGTCACGTGTGATGGTACAGCTTACACCTTCACCGACAGCCATCAATTTGTCGCCGTCAATTTGGCACCGTTGCGATACTACATCAGCTACACCGGGTGCAACGATGTCATTATATCCACATGTAACACCGCCGACTACGACACAAAGCTGGCTCTTTTTGCCTGTGATGCGTTGTCTAATACTGAATCCGGTGGGAGTCAGACATGCAACATCTACCAAGAGTACAGTCTGTACTATAACGACTACGACAACAGGTGTTCTGGTTACACCTCTTTGATTCAGATTCCCGAAGGAGAGCTAGCCATTGGAACGTATGCAATAGGTGTGTACGGGTACGACACCAGAGAAGGGACCTTTACGGTGTCTATCACTTGTTAGAGATTTCACGGTCGTTGAGCGCAACCAAGAAATTGAACTGTGGGCATGACCCGCTCGAGAATAACTGAATTGCCAGAGACTACATTTGTCTTCCAGATTATATCAAGTTTAGCGTAAAGACATAATCACTGAAATACTTGTATCCAGCTGATCGAATGAAAAATGATGAATTATAAAAGTTGAGATGAAGATTATATCCTTACATAAGTCATTAATAAATCTCTGCCAATTCACTGATAGTTTTTATATTTTCTCTCCAAATACTGAATTATATAAAACTATAAAAAGTTAAATATAGATTATTTTTCAATTATTCAGAGGTACATGCCGTTTCATTTATATTAGAACCCCCCCCCATTGATGATTTACCTGCCCTAAGAGTTGAGGTCTGAAATTTGTCACTGAAAGCCCACCAGGCACTTAAAATCATATGGTCATTTATCCGCGAGGAGCCTATCGTGCGTAGATATATCTTAATGCGTTTCCAGGCCTACCCAACTACCAGACTCGGCACCTAAGGATCCTGAATTAACCGGTATATCGGACCACGCTACCCGTTTTCAAGGTATGTATCATACCCCAGAACAAATTTTGTAGCATGACTGCAGGCTCATCCACGCTCGGCTGAACAACCATAAACTGTACTCTTACTTTAGAGTACTCTATTTTATTGTCTCTATGGGGATATATGGGGACTTAACGACATTCGGTTTGAATGTTTTGACCACTTTTGATAGGGCGTTTTTTTTTTTGCATTGTATTAGATTAATGTGGCAGTCTAAGGTTCATCTAGGTGGCTTTCAAATTTATGCACCCGGTTTTAAAATCATATAGCGAATTACGACAATGATTTACTATCCAATCAAGGTGACAGCCGAGCATGCCAGGGCTCATCCTGTCGGTGTTCTGGCTGATACTCCGAAATGCGATCTGACACACACCTTGAAAACGGGTAGCGTGGCCCGATATACCAGTTAATTCAGGATCTTAGTTGGGTAGGCCTGGAAAAGCTGGTCGTTTTACGAGTATGTTGGAAACCAAAGGAGGTGCATAGTCTTTTAACCTCATTCTAAACAACACCTTTGACAAAAATATAAATGAATCCACAATCTGAAACCAAGTTTTATTTAAAATGAATTTATTTCTACAAAATACAAGAACATAATAATTTTCATGTGTGACAATTTCAGGGATATAACAGTTTACTCCTCAATGTTTTCGCCTACAAATAATTTTGAGGATATTGCTCAGTTTCTTCGATCTTTTTTCTTGTACCATCTGACCAAAGTATCCCACTTATCTAATGAGAATTATCCCATGAGAAATATGTCACTGTCCCATGAGAAATGTAGGCACCTGCATATATATTTGCTGCTATTATAAGTAGTGTCGTTGAGATCATAATTCTTCTTACAAATAAAACTTCCATGTAATCAAAAGCTCGACATCTCTACCAGATAAACATTCTGAATCGATGACAAGTTGGATGAAACAGGAGAGATATCTTCCCCAAACAGCAGCAAATATATTCAGAAACAAGAATCTTTTCATAATGATTACCGAATATCATTTCAATGTGTTTACCTGAGAAAATGTTCATTATTTATATCAATCATGTCACATAAGTATACATTTTTGGCCAGATCTACGACATATAAAAAGTAGCCATGATGATGTAACAGTAAAACATGGTGTGAAATTAAGTAATGATACTGGCAGAGAAGTCAAGCAACTTCCTTCAATAACATTAGCAGTTTTTAATACACGGTTAAAAATTCCTAATTTCTCATTTTTCTTCAGAAAAAGGAGAATTCACTAATACTTGTTTTTTCATATTTGTTATCATAAATTAATCTGAACAGAGCCCCCTCCCACCCCCAATCCCATCCAAGGATTTCAAACAAGATACTGAATTCGTATGCATGAAAACAAATTACAAACACCGAGAACCCACAAATGAACCAACAAAATTAACACAGATTTAAGACACTGTAGAACAACCAGCTTAAAGCTGTACCAGAGCCAAAGAAGGTCAACTAACTAATTAATATTCAAATCATTATTATCCTGGTATTAAAATGTAAGAGGTTTTGCGGATGTAACGGATGGAATTATCTGTTGAAACTTTTACCTATGAAATCTACTGAAATACAACAGCTAACATAAAGCTGACAACTCCTTTATCTTTGCTGACATCTCATAAAGGACTTGTACCTTCCACTTGCTTTTTTTGACTTCCTTATATGCTTCAGCAATTTTCCATTTACCTAACCACTCGAGCTTTGCACTTCCTTATATTGGAAATAAACTTATGATGTCCCTGACTCATGACACCTTTTTTTCACAACTCATTGTCTTACAACAAATTTACTTTAAAAATGATTTAAACACAATATTTTAACTAGAGGTATCTCTCAATTATTAAATAATATCTCAATTCTCTATAATACAATTTCAATTCTGATAAAATCTTAGTCAGTATCCATAGCTTCACATGTATTTTCTGTCACTGCTTTTTCTAGCTCTCTAGACTGAGAAGTACTAGTTACATCTGTTAACTGCTCTGAATTCTTGTCTGATATATTTTTCTGATCTTCAGAGGATTTTAAACTTGTGCCGTCATCTTCTGAACTGGAATCTAAAGACATTGAAAAACCCTCTGTCTCGTCAGAGTCTGTCCTTTGCATTTTTCTGGGAGGCTCTTCACATTCTCTTGAGTTCTCATCAGAGCCTGATCCTGATTGGTTGGATTCTGGCATGTCCATTTGTATGGCATCATTTGATTGGCTGGAAATGTCATCACTAGACTGAATAATATTAACTAATTCTGAATGAGTATCCGATTGGCCGATACTTTCTTCACTAGTGGATTGTGATTGGTCCTTTAATTCAGATGAATTGGTAGCTGTATTGGTGGAATCAGCCTCGTTAGATTCTTGGTGATAGCTAGACTTTTCTGAGGTTGTGATTGGACTGCTGCTGTCAGGTGTTGGCTCTTTCTGGACACCTTCAATGAAAATTAAGTACAAAGTGAGTATGGTTTGCAACATCTTCTGATGGCTGATGATCAATATTTACTGCCATAATTATCATTTCATTAAGCATGAAATAAAAAATAGAACTAATTGATATATTCTTGAGAAATGAATTCCACCATTTAAAGACAAGAAAGTCTTTCTTGACTTAGAAATTACAACTATAAGTTGATCGTATAGTCCAGGTATACTTCTACTGGTAAGTAAATTGAGGGAGTCTAAGGGACCATTCCCACAGATATTTGGACCGAACTATCTCCCTGGGGAGTCTCACTAAACTGCTATCAACTTGATCGGCTTAAATGTCTGTCATGCCTAGTAAAGCTGTTAGGGGGTAATTATCTTTACACTAGCTGATTCGGTAGGCGTGACAGACATTTAAGCCGGTTAAGGTGACAGCAATTTAGTGAGACTCCCTAGGGATTTAGACTGATCCAGATGGATCGATCTAGGAATGGGAACCCAGTCTATGATTTTCTTGTTTTTGTTAACTCACCTTCTCCCATTTTACATTCACCTGTCCCTTTCTCTTTTTCTGCCTGCTCGTTCTTCTCTGGGGAGCTCTGTGGCCAGTGAGCAAGGCTTAGTTTGACAGTGTCCCCTTTCTCATCAACTTCCAATTCTTCCAAATTTTCACCAGCAACAGTAGAATCACCCAACTCCTTAGCACCTGCGTCTTCCTTCCCCTCCCCAGCAACACACTTCTCCAACTCGCTACTAGATGGGGCTTCAGTTTCACTAGTCTTTGGTTTGTCTTGGTTCTCTAGCTTGTCTTGTAATGGCAGATTTGTAGATGTCTCTGCTGTAGCTCCCTCCTCAGTGCTGGTGTGTAGTGGGTAGTTGGTGGCAAAGGAGGCAGACATCCAGCTGGCCGCGTTGAGTCCCGGAGAACTGATGGGCGGCAGGGGAGAGGTAAATAGACTGGACTCATCTGAGTGGCCGTTGGCATCAAGTCCATTGACCATAGACTTGGGCTCTACAATAATTTTGCTAAAAGTAAGGGGTGAAAATTGGTTAGAATATAAACCTGAAGTATTGCATATGTAGTCAGATTTATAGGGCGCTATAAAACCATTTACAAGAGCAAAACAAACCTTGTCACCCATTTAAAACTATTCAAAATTTTTCACATCATTTAAAGGCAGATCCAGACTCGGAACTTAAACAAAAAGAGAACAGGCATTACACAGGTAGTTTAAAACAAATTTCCTATATTCTGTATGCCAATATGATTTTAACTGCAGGAAAAAAAAAAGGGAGAGTATTTTCCAGAGCATATCAGTACTTACTTCCCATACTGGTCTACAGTGCTTACTACCATTACATTCTAAAAAGAAAAACCAAAACCATAGTAACTCAACTCATTTATATCACAAGAGAGAAGCCAGTTAAAACATTTGTACATAAAAAGTCAACATCATCTCAGAACAAGTATCTCTGGACTTCAGACATTTATGATAAATTCAAGAGAAATGTTTAATTGTGTATTTTATTATTCCATAAATGTAATTTATTATTCATTTCAAATTAAAAAAAAAAAAAAACTGTTATAATATGATTAGTTAAAAAATACCCAGTAATTTTCTACATTATCTGTTCATTGGGAGAATACAAAGTAATTTGTCTCAGTTTATCAATAGATGAAGAGAGAGATTGAGCACGACCATAGTGTACCTTTTCAATACCCCTTATAAACTTATCTGTCCTCTTGTAATGTAGCTTGGGTTCAGTTATCAGTTCACACAAACGCTGTATTGTGAAAGGAGCACTGAAAAAACAAAATGCCATGTTATGTTATGTTATGTCATGTTATGTACCTTGTTTCTGAACTTGAAAAATGTACTGGTATTGTGTTTCACCTTATTTTTTGTTGCTTAGGGAAAAAATTACCAAAATGTCATTCCTTATCACAACTTGTCAGGTTTTCAACTTTCTCCCTCATTGTCATGTTTACACAAAAATATTTAGTCACACAAACACTGCATGCAAGCTGCAAACATTATTTTTTTATTTTTAACTAAGATATATAACAAAAATACAAAAAAATAACACCTTAATATTAGCTACTGCCATTAAGGCAGCATCAGAGTGAAGAAGGAGAAAAAAACTCACCCATCAAATCTCTTCAGCCTATTCAGCACCCTTTGTTTGATTTCACTGTACTGTATATTTTCCACATTGGGGAGGGGGGTCAGTTCGTCTGTAGGACACGAGGCAAAGAAGTCGTCCATACTCTTGTCTAGCTTCTTCACCAGCAGGGTCTTCAGTTTGGGCCAGGGGACCCTGAGAATGGACACGTGATCAGTATAATATATATCAATATAGTATATATAATGTGATCATAATCATAAATATTATGTTTCCAGTTCTGAGTGAGTGAAATAGAATTTATTTCATAACATCCTAATGTAAATGACACACTTAGCAAATAAAACATTTTGTGGGCTCACATCCTCTCCCCCTTCACACGCGAAATGGAAATAATTATATGATATCGAAAATAATAAACATATTTACATTGACTCAACCTTTCCAATTTTAGAACAGAAAAAAGAAGATGAAAATTCTAGGAATACGTTTACCAGAAAGTATCTTTTTATATTTATTTGTTGTTTCTTTTGGTAAATTGTCAAAATGGACTATTTCAAACAAAGTTTGAATGACATATCTGAAGAAATGAACTGGTTGTCACATTCCAACAATTTAGACTCGCCCTTCAAGAAATCGATGCCTTCAAGAAATCGACGAAAACCGTAAGTGCGTGTTTTTTTCACTGTTTTCCTGTCATGCCCAACGTAAACACTGTGTTGTCAAGTAAAACGAAGCGTCTGATACAAAGTATCAAACGCGGCATTCACGTGCTTGCTTGCGTTCAGTACACTTTGTTTACACTGACAAGTCGAGGTCAGGAATGCACAATGTTTTTCTATGTAATTACGCAGTTTCAATTTTGATTAGTGAATTTTCTTTTATCTGCATGGTCATTTTCCAAACATTTGTATAAGCCACGAAATATTTCTCATCGGAAAATCACCCAGCAGCTTTCCAAGTAGAAGCGAGTGACGTCATGACGCACTTCCAATTTTCGTCAAGATCTTGAAGGGATTAGCGTTACTGTTTGCTGCACATTTAAAGCGTTCTGTCTCAAAATGTACTCAACTGCTTGGATTGAAATTTACAGAACTTATTCTTCACATGATATCACACGTGCTTAATTTGAGAGCTTTAGCTGTTATATGTTTTCTACAGTGCCCATTCAAAATTGAAAAAGAGCTATTTTCCGTCGATTTCTTGAAGGGCAAGTCTAACCTTGGAGGGTCACAAAAGTTAATTTCATAACAGAAAAACGCAGTAGCATTTTCATTTGCAAACATTATTTTTTTTTTTCTGAATTATTGACTACTTCTTATGATAAATTGTACTATGACAAAATTAATTATTCTAACACCAGTGTGATGTTCCAAAATTTTCTATATGTACAACAGTTATCTAAATCATACTTCAGCCTTCATTACATATCAACCCTGTTATATTAGCTTTATGCAACAGCACATCAGTATGTTGGCATAGAAAAATCAACAACCTGGCCTTATTATTTTTCTTTCTTAGATAACACTGAGCACTGTAGCATGGTAAGTACTGAAGCACTGCGACATAAACACCCTACACCAAAACAGTATGTGACCTACTGTATGCATGAATAGGGACAGTCGGGCTGACGTCACGCGCCTTAGCAACCGGCATCTGGGGTAAAACAAATCGGGCAACATGGCGGATCGCATTAACTTCTATGTAAAAGTTGGCAGACTTTGTCCGAAGATATCATACTTCACAGTGACTGACCACTTGTGTCAGTAAGGATGAGTTGTTTACCTGGTCGATTTCTTTTACAGGCCTTTGTAATTAGCCGCTGCACACCTGGTAAGGAGATAAAATCGGCCTTAACATGACTGCCGATCGTTATCTGTGATCGGGAAGTTTACAGCAGAAGATTTGCAAAGGCTGTGCTTGACCTTTTGTGTCTGGCTGGTTGAATCATTTACCTGGACTATTGAGTTAGCAGGCCTTTGTAATAAGCAACTGTTTAACTTGTTACGGGATAAAATTGGTCTTAACTGAATACGCAAATGTCCACCCTAAGTATATACAGTATATGCATGTACACACGTTGGTGATATAGGAATGGCTTCTTAGAACCTGGATCGTAAAAAAGGCCTCGAAAATGTGCAACACTGAGAAGTTATTAGAATAAGATTTCTACAAATTGTGATTAAATCACCTGCTGCTGCAATAGCCAGGGGAACGGGATAGGGGCAATGTCATCGATCCCATATGGCCTCTTTGGTCTGTATGTACAGTACATGTATATTAATGCAAGCCTGGAAGGACAGCATAAACAGTTGCTTGCTAACTTTTTGGAAGAGAAGACACGTGGTGTTACCTGTATTAATATTTGCAGCTATTCGTCTTATTGTGCACTTTTCTGGTACGAAAATTGGCGAAATATCATGGAAGACAGAACGTTAAGTTTCAAAACGTAGCCCTACAAGGTTAAAATTAAATTGAATAACAAACGCGGTAATAAAGCTGTATGTTATTTTACCATTTAAGGTCGTTTTATTTATGGCAACTTTTTTTATATTTTACTTGATAACTTAAAGATTTAGACATTAACTCACAGGTTTGTCAATATATTGACGTGTATATTTTTTCTTATCTTTATAACGCCCTCAATTAACTTACAATAAAAAAGTTCGACGTTAGAGTCCATTGATTTTAACTAAAAGAATTGATATACCGGCACACACGCCAACACAAGATGCAATCTCAATTTCTTGTAAATACTACGTATACTTATTAATTCATGTAACAAATGACAAACATAAATACCAAACAAGGTACAATGACTTTCTCCTTATCTATAATAAAATGAACTATACACACATACACAAATCTCGTAGTTCATGTATAACTATGACCAAATCTTGTTTCGATCAACAATCCCGTCTTTAGTCACGTTTGCACGACCTATATCCTGCAATAGTCGTTTACTTTTCCGTTGATCTTTGAAATTTAACAAATCCCATAAGATTTTATTAATGTGTTGGTAGTGTCACCTGGTGCACAGCAAGCCTCCACCATTTCACATTTGTGCGCGTGCCTGAGAGTTAAACGGTACCGGTTCAATTCAGTAAGCTTGCAAATCTACCCGTCATATGTGTCAGCAATATGCAACGTCAACAGTTATTAGTACAATTGAAACCTTCCTTGATATTATCAGTTTCTTTCAAATGGTTTTCTTTTCAAAGAGATGTGAATAATATGCTCATCCAGGTAAGCAAATGAATCTACCACTGTAAGATTCCCGATCACAGATAACGATCGGCAGTTAAGGCCGATGTTATCTCTTAACCAGGTGTGCAGCGGCTAATTACAGAAGCCTGTAAAGGAAATCAACCAGGTAAATAACTCAACTTCACTGACACACGTGGTCAGGAACTGTGAAGTATGATATCTTCGGACAAAGGCTGCCAACTTTTTCATAGAAGTTAATGCGATCCGCCATGTTGCCCGATTTGTTTTACCCCAGATGCCGGTTGCTAAGGTAAAGTGCCCGGATGACCGACTGTCCCTATGTGATGTTTTGAAGTTCTGATATCCACAGCAGTTATCCAAGTCATACTTTATCATCAATTATGTATCAACCCTGCTAAATAAGCTGTTGTTCCATAAGCTTTATGAAACAACACATGTGCGTGTTGACCAAGAAACACCAACGATTTACTCTTTCTTTCTGTCTCTTAGATAACAGTTCTGGAGCACTCGGCGACCTTCAACTTGACACGAATTCTATTATTAGAACCGCTTTGTTTATCTTCCTAGCGTCTGTCTCGTAGGAAAACGCAAAAGCCAGCCGACTGCAAATAAAACTCTGAGTGGCTAATTGAAGATTTGAGATACTTACAGGGTTTCTCCGGTTTTAGCAATCCGAATAAGATGTTGGTCTAGAACAGCCGGTATGTCAAAATCGTTGTCTGGCTTCTTCGCGAGGGCTGAAATCGACAACAAAATTGAAACGTAATTTCATTCTAGATCAGAGTGTCTTACAAATTTTTTAGAATTGTAAATAAATATGGCGGTCTTTAACTTACCATCTAAAGCTTCCAGTATTGTCTTTTGGTTCTCCATTGTCGTTCAATAAGTTATAAGTCTATGGCTATTCGGCACGTTCGTCTCAACCACTCTATTTTGAATGGCGGCCTCGCATGAGAATGTAAGGTCAGATGAATCTAAATGTTAGGGGAGTAAGCTTCATTAATCAAATGAAATGAAACGTTGAAGCACAAAATATTCCGCATTTTTCAAACAAAAACATAATATTTTAACTATAAATTCTTTCACTATGTGTATAAGTGAATATTTAGTGAAATTTTTCGGTTATAATTTTAGTCAGAACAAGAGCTACTTTCCTATTCGGCGAGTTCAACTAGGCTCTCGAAAAATCTCGAGGATTAATCTAAAGATGGCGGGATATTGAGAGCAAAGTGTAGTAGCCTAAAAATTGGATGTTTGCTTTGCATATACAGGAGGTTTGTGTTGATATCCGATGTTAACCACATTCTTATGTCATTTGGTGCACTTGCAAAAGAAAAAAGATCTTTTAACTGAATGTGGAAATCTCACCAGTAGCAATATGGTAGCGACCTCACAAGAGTTCACACACAAGATAAACAGCCACTGTGACAGTGACTAAATCCTCTGCACATTTGTCACTTTGCGTGTCACTATACACTCAAAATATTGCTAGATAAAAGTGAATCTTTGCCAAACACGATTACTAAACTCTACAGGGATTTTTCCTACATGCTTGGACCTGATGTAGTAATTGTGAATTTTAACTTTTTTTGTTTTCCTTGCAAAGCACCTGACCAAAAACATTTTGTGGTTTACCCAAAGTTTAAATAATAATGGAAATATTTCACTAACAGCAAGGGCCACCCACACCCATGTGATACAAAATAGTAATGGCTCCAAAAAACAAGCTATTCAAAACGGGGCCCTTGCCTCAGTGTAAGGTCCAACATTGAGGTACCCCCCCCCCCTCACCCTTCACAATACACAGAGACAATATGCAGGGGAGTCACACATATTGTGATAAAATCCTGAGAGATAAAAAAAAAATAGGCACAGAAACCGATAATGAATATTGTAAATATAGCATTTGGAAAAAGTATAGAAAAGGCGATAATTATTAAATCTGTTTGTTTCATGTCATTATGATTAATTTGCCTCTATTGTACATTTAATGTTGAGATATTTTATATCGTGATAATCAGCAATCTATTGATTGATAACCTAACTTGATATGGTCCCTGAATCCAGTCACAGCTTAGAACCAAGTCTCTGGATTATAATCCTATGCATATTTATACTATTGTGTTGTTGATCGATGTATGTACATCCTTATCTTCCTTCAGGTGGATTATTTAGACTGTAACGCCCAGTCAGAATTTGGCACATTTCCACTACATGTTTAACAACAAGCAAGTACTGGAATAGGGGGACATGCTTGGACAGGATAATAGACAGGTATGTGTGATTTTGTCTTTAGTATTTATTTATTTATTTATTTATTTATTTATTTATTTATTTATTTATTTATTTATTTTAATCTGTAAAAATTAATATTCTGATAAATAAAGATGGTCCACCATGTATGTAGATAAACTTAAAACATTTTAGTCATTTTCAGCTTATACTGTTGGTCAGATATTTATAAATCATTATCTTTTACTTTTCATTTAGATTGATTTCCTGTTTTATTGTTCATTTATTTGAACTTATTTACAATGATTTTATGATTATTATTTTTTATGGATATATGAAATTACTAATATCACAGTGATGGATTTGGTTTCTGTGGAAAGTTCCTGTATGTGATATGTTATGTAAACACCACTGCAGAATTAATAGTTGAGATTTTGGTAAAGTGGGAGAAATATAAATGGGAATGTTGTATCCATCTCTCTCTCTCTCTCTCAGAATCAAGTGTGTCAGTATACATGTCACTTAATGTCTGTAAACAGATGCAAGAACACAGCCATGCCTGTTTGGGGTCAATTTCCTCTAGTTAATAGATGTATCTTATAGACGAGAGGTGAATACCTTATAACATGCATTGCAACAGGATACATTATTCTGGGCTAATTAGAGCACAACTCGTGTTTAAACCAACTTATTGAAACAACTTATTGAAAATGCAACTGGCATCAGATGGTGATAAATTGGCAAATAAGTTGTAACTTCATATCTTATTTAACCACATATACAGTTTAAGAACTTGATTTAAAAATTAAAAAATGGGATGCTCTCCACTATTTACCATGCCTCGGATGATACTGCAATGTGAAAACTGAAGGTGTGACCTCTGACCCATGACCTCTGACCTCGTGCACTGATATCAGATGTCACAGTATTGTAGGCACATACAGTAATACAAGAGGGCCATTCATCCATCATTATATGGTCCCAAGCCTGCATAAAGCACAGAGAAAGTGATACACCACACATTACAGAGACAGTGCCTTGGTTTACTATTATAATCTTCATTTCAGCGCGGAGGACAGGAAACGACTGGTGTGTCCCGGTGATGAAGTAGAGATAGCAGAGGTCTGCGTTGTAATTACCATCTCTACAGGTAGGTTATTATGACACTGGTTGGCAAGCTGTAATGATGGGTGGAAGGTACAGGTGCTTGTACTGTATGGTGGGAATGAGACTTTCTTATCTGATATATATATACTTAGTGGATTATAGAGCTTGACACAACTTAGAATGTGTTTATCATATAATTGAGATATGTGTGATAGTTGTTGATTGTGATGGATTGTCTAGAAGGCTTAAATAGGAATATGTGAAAAGTTTTGTGTTTTACAACCAATGAAAAGGGTAGATAGAAGTAATAAATGAGCAGTTCTGATGATATATGCTACTAAACCCTTTTTTAATGGTTTATACGCAGTGCTAAGTGTAATCTTGATGGTTAATGATTAACGGAATGATCTTGATATTGTTGGGTGATAGTGTAGGATGCAGTGTGTGTATGCTGGTTCTGTCTGATAGAGGCAGACAGATAGTGGTTTAGTGCCAGATTAATTATTGGTTTTCTGTTATGTTTTTGGAGTAAACTTCCCAAAGGAATTTTATATTTATTATTTTAGAGATAGTAGTTGTAGTAGTAATAGGCAGTAATAGTTGTAGTATAGAATAAAAGTTAGGTTTTACTTAGTTGACACTATTCACACTGTCACCTCTTTGCTGGTAGGTTGTTATATATTTCATCAACATAAAGGAAGTCAATTGTTTTGGAAATATGTTTATCTGAACTCGGGATCAGGCCCCACTGTCAAGCTGTAGATGGCTCTAGTACTATGGTACAACAGGTGTCACATTTGTATACCACAGCCCAATACCCATGCCAAGGATTTTTCATTGTGCACGTCTGTCATAATCTGTGTGTAGTTTGGTTAAAAAAAAAGGGAAAAAAATACCTTCATGCCCTGTTAACCAGGAGAGACCCGTATGGTTGATATTATATCAGCTTTAACCCAGTTCAATATATATACTAAATGCTTGATGATGGTTTATCAATATTTCAAATGAACTTTGCTGATTAGTCATCATTTGTTATTTTAGGATTTTCTGTTGGTGGGGTAACAGCTTTCAGTTGACAAGCAAGTCTGAAGCGCACAGTGTTACAGTGATATTACAAGTGTCTATCACAACCTGTACGCACATTAATAGTAATAAGGAAACGCATGCAGGCATGCACTCACCATCATACGTGCATGCATAGTCTGCGTTGCAAGTTATAGGGTCACTGTTATTGACCCGTAGATTTGGTGTGTGACTGGTAAATAATTTGAATGTTTAAAAGTTAATAGACTAATTGCACTTGTGGAAATTTTAGGGCTTTGTATTTTCAATTATCTAAATAGTCATCTCCAGACTAATTGATTTTCATTTGGACTAGTAGTTTTTTTCAGCCTGTTAGCCTAAGCAGAAATATTGAAAAAGCAGACTACATATACATACACAGAGTAAAAAAAAAAAGAGAGTTACTCAAGCTGGCTGTTTAATTCGACTGAGCCAAAAACTGCTTCACACTTTTATACGACCATGCAATAGTTCTATGCACTGCCAGTTAAATAGTAACCCTAATGCTAATACGGCTTAATGCACCTGTATATATCAACTTCATTATCCAAGTCCAGACAACACCCAGTTATTGCATGTTGCCTAGACATCCAGCAACAGACTCCACATCCCTGAGCTATGTCCGAGTCCAACCACAAGGTGCCAGTGGTCACTATCTGACTGACCCTTGGTGTGACTGCAGCGATTAAGGTGCACGGTCCACCCACCTTGGGTGTTTAATAAGATAGTATCATGATGGCTTTAAAGGGAAAAAATGCCAGTGGGTGAAAATATAGTGACTATAGAAATGAAAGCATATTATATGTATGTATATCTCTTTAACCTTATTTCATGGTATTAACTTCAGAAGGTAAATTTATTGGGTATATCAGAAATCTGACATTCATTGAGAGACTATTAAAGGATTACGTGGTCTTCCTTTCATGTAGGTGTGCCATATTTAGGTCTCGGCGTTGCTAGACCTTGGCTCTTCTCGATGTGAATGCTCTCAATTATAAACATCTTGTCTGTGCATGATCATTTTGATTTTTTGATGGTCTAAATGTGGTGAAAAATGCAAGCTACGTTTTCTGGATTTTCAGTTGTTGCAACTTTTATCCATGTAAATGGCATGCTGGGGATTTTCCAAATTCTCCAGTGTAGATGAGTTATATTTTGTTAGCTAAGAAAACAAAAATTCCTACATATATATCCCCAATTAAAATTAAATGCAGCCAGAGGAAGTAGACTTATTTGTCTATAGATGATGCATCAGCCTGGTTGAAAAATATACACAGCTCAGTCAATATGATCACTGTTGCTTAGGTTACGTAAAAAGACTAGAAGTAATCTCAGAATATTGAAATTCATGTTCAGTGTATAAGGAAATAATTGCTGTATCACATAACTCAATCTGATAATGAATACACTAGTAGTCTTTTTATTGTTACATGTGTATAAACACAAACACACAAGGGATGACCTTTTGGTTGGCACAGACATTTGATCTACTTTTTGAGTGTATTGTGATATACTGGTTAGGAATTTGAATCCTGAAGGAATTTTTTTTCGCTGTACTTATTGAATTGAACTGAATTGAATTAATGATTGAAACATGAATATTAGTTGTCAACAAGTCTTCACATAGCAGGCCAGGGTTAGGGGTTTTTTTTCTGCCTTTGAGAGGATTTACTTTTTTCAAAGAAGAAGGAAAAGTTACAAGATTTTGCATGAATTTCATAGCAGGTTATACAACTTATGGAAAGCAAAGGGTGCACCACCATTTCCACTTTCTCTGTGTCTATCCTTGGCTATGACCCCTTCTCTGTTATTGCCAGAAGCCCCCAGGCTTAGACAACTTTGCTGCTAAATCTCTCTTAGATAAGAGACCTAATCTGATGTGGTTTTTGTTCAATAGCTTGGACAAACTCTTTGGAGAAAGGGGGCTGCATAAAATGTTTTTATACTTCAACTTACTTGAGGCATTCACTGTACTAGTATTAGCTAAGAAAGATCTGATCCTCCTGTTTGCTAAGCTTATCAGTTTTATTGGAAATCTTTGTTTTATTAATAAGCTACCATGCAATCTCAGCATTATGTTCTACAGTTATGTTTACAAAAATGGGAATCAGGCACCATTTGTGATACATCTTTCTGTTGATGATTCCAAGCTAATGTTGTGATTACAGATATTACAGGTAATGGTTCTACTGGGGATGACATGACTGCAGCCCATTTCATGTTGTTAGATTACCTTTTTATTGATTTTGGTAATGTGGAATTTTGTCTGAAATGTAAAATTGCCCTGTATCCATTTTGCTTCTGAGGGATAGTAAAGTTAAGACATGGGGTGTTTTAGACCGAGAATTCAGTTCAAAGCATGTTACTATATGGGAATAATATATGCAAAAGATTGTTTTATTGCCTCCGAGGAGCAGTTCACTCCAGGACTTTTCAGACTGAAATTTGGTCTAAATGCTGTTCTCAGCAAGATTCCTTAAGCTGGGATCTAGATGTACATGTCTAGGGCAGAGTGGGACCTCATTGTAACCCCCCTCTCAACACAGAGGTGTAGGGAGACAGTAAAAAGGATACAAGGTCCCAGGCATGTCTTTGTACAATGGTATTTGCTGTCGTCTCACTTGTGTGAGCTTAAAATAGCATGTAGTTGAAAGAATTAAGCTCGTTGAAAGAGGGAATGCATGGCCAGATATGTGTGTCCTGTACTAGTACTGTATAATGGGCAGACTTAATGTGCATGCATGAGGTTACTATACTGTGTTATATAGCCAGCGAGGGATACACACACACACACACATAGAGGAATGGTGCTTAGGCTCTCAGCTTTGGGAAATCATTAACTTTGATGGCAGTGTAGTTGGAGATTACTGTAGTCCTAGATCTGGACCAGTTTGCCACATGACAGCAGTTTCTGTGTGTGACTTTATAGGCTGTGGTAAGTAATTGCTAAGCTACAAAGATGTCTGTGGCAATCTTTGTGTCAAATGTGTTTGAATACTAATTGATAAGTGTTTTTTTTCAAATGTACATTAAGCAGAGGATACTGGATTAATTAAAAAGTTGTGTTAAATTGGCTCAATATTTAGCTATGGTGCCAGCTATGGATGTGTTTCTTCCGAGGCCTGTGAAATGACAGTAAAATTTAGAGCAAATACAGTAGCTATTATGACTAATAATCCATGTGTTGCTGAGATATGTACTGTAAACATTGGAATCTGCATGGATAGGGGCACTTGTTGGATGCATGGATTCATTGCTTCCTATGCTGTGGTTTATTAGTAGAAGTTTTTGTAAATATTTTCTACAGGGTCACACAAGATCCATGTGTTGGTGACTAAAGATGCATTACAAATATCAGAAAAATGTTGTTTTTCCATTAATACTAATATGGACATATAAGGGCCAGCATTCTTTATTAAAGAAGTACTATGGGATAACTCCATGGTGGAAGTATAAGTAAATGAAAATACACATATTACAGTTAGACTCAATAGTTTGGCCACACATAAGTTTTAAGTGTCATTTGCTGTATAGTTGCGTTGAAATACTTAAAGAATGGAGAGTTTCAACTAAGATATATTTGGTGCTACAATTATGACTGTTTGTGTTAGAATTACTCTTCTATATTTGTCATAAGTCATAAGTCTGGATGAGTATTTGGACTCCGCTGTAGCGCCTAATAAGAGTTCACTTCACTCATGACATAAGGCTTTATTGTGCCTTTCCATAACTGGAATGTAGTAATATAATGGCAGTACACAGGTTCACACACATAATCATAAATGGCATGTGTTGTATGATATTGGTAGAGGTTAGATAAGGATATGTCCTATAATATAAACAACTGGTGAGTTACGTCAGTGTTCTAAGATATTTTTGGCCTTGACAGTGTAAGTATCTCCTTTGACAGTCATATTTGCCATATTTGTTTTCAGTGTTGGACAGATTTGGAGTTTGTTTGTTTGCTATTCATAACTTCCCTTGCAGAGGTAAATAACGATACAGGTGCCTCTCTGTGTGCTGGCTGCACATGATCATTATATCTGTGTGCCAGTTGCTGGCTATCAAGTCCTACTGGTCAAGCAGAGAAAGGCTAGCTGTCACTTTTAGAGGTGGCTGACACTTGAGGCGTCATTGTCATATTTTATGTTTTATGTTATATTGGTAAGCAGAAGTGTAGGTGAATGTTTTGTGAAAATAACTCTGTGTACATATGACCCTGGTGGAGGGCAGTGTAGTTGTGTGTTCTTGCATGTGATGTGTGTCAGTTTTTGTACAGCTACAGTCTCTTTTTTCATCCCTTAGATCTTAGACAATATCATAGCAAGGATGCAGATCCAATTTGCCAGATTATTTTTTCTCATTTGGAACAATACTGATTAAATTATTAATGCTCATGTGAATTTGCATATTTGCAGCTCATCATGATCAGAAAACGTCCTTTTCACTGATATCATTGTAAGAAGTAGAATTGATTTGACATAATTCTTTCATTTTTTTCTTTGTGAGACATAAATTCAATTGTATTAACTGTGTATTGGTTTTGATTCCAGCTCTATAATACCATTATAGTATACCAGTGACAGGCAGACGACATGGACGGCGGTGGCGGAGACATCCTGAACTGTAGCGAGGACCAGTTTGACCTCCTGGTCAGACAGCTGGACATGCAGGTATCTTTGACCTCTTTTTACTAAACTTTTTAGCTGATTAATAAGATTTGAAAGCAAAATTTAATGTGGTGCGCTGGGTTTTGTTTCAACTGGAGGTAATCTTGTTTTCCTAGATACCCTTGTAAACTTCAGCTGAAAAGGCTGGTGTTGCTAGCAAGAAGTGGATAAGTAGACAGTTTTGTCTTTTTGGACAGTTGGAACCCAGGGAGAATAATTAATGTTTTACTGTTATAAATAGCATGCGTGAAGAGCTTTGTCAATGTAACAGTACAAGTTTACTGTATTTTTTTAAAAGATTGTGACTCTCTTATTTTAAAAGTAAAGTTATTCACCAAAGCTATATGTACCTTTTACTCTAAATGCACAGTAAAACAAAAAAGTAAAACGTCACTTAGTGCCTCAAGCAGATCATGATAATCAGAGAGCACGTTGCTCATGGTGGACATGCCACCCGTACCCTGCAGGTAGCCATTAATGTCAGGGAGGCGTGAAGGGTCGAATGACCTGCCTAAGTGTCTCTGTCAGCTGGGATGATAATATGATTGATCTGCGTCATTGTTGCTCTGATTGATGACTGGTCGTCTATGTGGACCTGTCAGGCAATTTCTGTCTTTTTTTTTTCAACTCTTTCAGGTTTATTTTCTTTTTCTTTTTTTTTTAAACTGGTCATGTTAAAGCCTTATAAGGAATTATTTATTTTTGCTTTTTTTTCTGCCTCATTTTTTTTCTTCTCCCCCTCCCCATTATTTTAGGCAAATGGGGCATTTTTTTCATCCACATATTCTTTGTTTCTAATGAAAGAATTGATAGATAACAGTTTAAGCATAATACATTTATATTCTAAACAGTACTATACTGGAATCATTTGAAAATGTTACAGAGAAAGAATTATAATAAGTTGAACCATTTCTCTTTACATTCAGGATCGGATGGTAGGTACAGGCATGTGACATGCATGAATTAATAATTCTTGATGGAAGTTTTCTTTAAAAACATAGAAAGATTATTTGACATTCAGTTGAAATAATTTATATTCAAATACATTTAATTTAATTTGTTTCTGGACTCGCTATGTCTGTCGTTGAATGACTGTCACTATTGACAGACAGTGTTAGTTCAGAAATTTATTTAAAAAAAAAATTGTGTATGTCTTGTTTAACTTTATTTTATTCAAGATATAGGGCTTATCATAAATCTTCTCAGCAAGAGATTCTCCTCACACATCTTAATTTATTTTCCAAAAAAAATACTTTTAAGTATTAAAAGACAAGAAAAAACACCAATTGATGTTGAGCCCTGTATATTGCTGTAAACAAGTTATAATGTACACATTGGGTTTAAGTTCTTAGTTTCATTCACACAAAAAAGTGCAAGCCAGATTTAAGAATTTTTTGTTAAAGAGGTATCTCCCCCCTACTGGTAACTTTCTGATTACAGTGACTACAATTCTGACTATTTAATAATACAGAACTATAAGACTGGACTGCATTTTCTTGTGTGAGTACAGTTATATTCTGTTATGTTCACTTGACAGTTTTCTTCAGTTACATTTGGGGTTTAAAATGATGACGTTTGCCTAACATTTTGCATTTAAAGTTAATTTCATTATTTTTGTTTACTTGTTATATTTTACCAGTAATTGTTATACCCTAACTAAAGGCATGATGTTTTTACATGAAAATTGGTATATATGGTATTATAATTAGTTTATATAAATATATTTAATGATTATTTACCAAAGTGGTTTTTGTCTTGTTTAGAAAGCATTAAGATTGATTAAGTCATGATCTCATAATCATATTTCCAGTCATATTAATTATAATTTCAAAGCTATATGGAATACAAAGAGTGGTATGGGTTGAAATGAATATCTACTAGTAATGTATAACTCATTTCTTTTTCATGATAAGTCTGTCTGCAGTTATACAAGCTTTATGATGTGTATATTACACTGATATTAAATTAGGGAGCAAATAATGTAGTTTAAGATTAGCCTAAGTAATAAACATGTAAAACCTTGTATCTGAACTTTGAAGTTGACAGTTCTTGCCTGCAGCCAACACAGTATTTTTATGTTGTCAGAATCAAAGGTACTCCAATGTTTTTATGAGCAGTGGAAATTGGAAGTATTGTTTCACACACATGTGATGGGAATTTTCCATAAATGTGACCACAGAAACAGAGAACTAAGCCAAGGAAATAATTTTATACTCGTACATCAATAAGATATAGTGTCTTTATTGTGACACAAGTTTACATATCAAAACTGGGCACCTGTTAGTAGATTGTTTTTATGTACAGACACAGATGTGTCTGTACATATTGCCATCACCTGCGTCTGTCGTCGCCGATGCCGATGCCGATGGCGATGCCGATGCCGATGCCGATGCCGTCGCCGTGCACTTTCCTTGTAAACATGATAAGTGACAGGCAGTTTTACTTTTTGGCTTTATATTTACAGAGCTGATGAATATTCATAAAACGCAGGTCAAGTTCGAAAATCAGCATGATCGGGCCATTATTGTAGAAGTTATGCTGTTTTTTCACTTTTCAGCATATATGCAACCTTGTAAACACATTTTAAGGAAAACCATTAGGCCTGTTGTCATGAAACTCACAGGAGTAATCAATCTTACTAAAACGCAGGTCAAGTTCGAAAATCAGCATGATCTGGCCACTATTTCAGTAGTTATGCGGTTTTTTCATTGTTCAGCATATATGCAACACTGTAAACACAATATAAGAAAAACAGAAAGCCCAATTGTCATTAAACTCACAGGAACGGTCAGTCTTACTAAAATGCAGGTTGAGTTCGAAAATCAGCATAATCGGGGCATTATTTTAGAAGTTATGCTGTTTTTTCACATTTCCTCAGATTTCCTCAGATTTAATTCTTAGGCATGTTAATAGCCTTATTATTTAAGTAATAAGATACGTAAAAGTGTTTGTTTGACATTTCCTGCATCTTTACAACATTGTTAGTTGATTATGTAAAAATGATGGTAAACTTGTTATCGTGTATTGTGTAATAAAGTGTCAAAAATGGAAATAAACTCATATCATTGCAGTTTGTCGGATTCAATCATTCACTATGTTCAGAATCTCAGAATGGAAGAAATTGGACATTTAACACTGTTCTATTGATATTTTTCCCATCTCATCAATTTTCTTAGTTGATCTTATAAAAATGGCAGTAACCTATTAATTTTGTTTTATGTTAAAAAAGTGTTAAAAATGGAAATAAACCCATTTCAGAACAGTGCAGTCTTGTTTACATTTTGGCATTTTTAAGGTGTGACTTTGAAGTTCCATCGGCCTAAAAACCTTTGTTAGTCACGTTTACTATTTGTCCATGATACTAATATTTTATTATTAAAAATTGATGATCATTATGCTGTTAAACATTATGTAATATTGCATCAAAATTTGAAAAAAACCTATTTTGGGCACTGCTCCCATGATGACCATTTAAGAAAAACCATGTCACTTACTGTTCTCAAACAGTACAGTTAATATGTACAGATGTGTCTGTACATATTGCCATCACCTGCGTCTGTCGTCGCCGTCGTTGCCGTCACTGTCGCTGTCGCCGGCGCCATGCACTTTCATTGTAAACACGATAAGTGGAAGGCAGTTTTACTTTTTGGCTGTATATTTACAGAGCTGATGAATATTCATAAAATGCAGGTCAAGTTCGAAAATCGGCATGATCGGGCCACTATTTTAGTAGTTATGCTTTTTTTTTCACTTTTCAGCATATATGCAACACTGTAAACACAATATAAGAAAAACAGATAGGCCAATTGTCATTAAACTCACAGGAGTGGTCATTCCTGCTAAAACGCAGGTTGAGTTCAAAAATCAGCATAATCGGGCCATTATTTTAAAGAAATGCAGTTTTTTCACATTTCCTCAGATTTAATTCTTAGGCATGTAAACAGTTTCATTATTGAACTAATAAGATAGGTAAAAGTGTTTGTTTGGCATTTCCTGCAATTTTACAACATTATTAGTTGATTATGTAAAAATGATGGTAAACTTGTTATCGTGTATTGTGTAATAAAGTTTCAAAAATGGAAATAAACTCATATCATTGCAGTTTGTCAGATTCAATCATTCACTATGTTCAGAATCTCAGAATGGAAGAGATTGGACATTTAACACTGCTCTGTTGATATTTTTCCCATCTCATCAATTTTCTTAGTTTATCATATAAAAACGGCAGAAAACTGTTAATTTTGTTTTATGTTAAAAATTGTTAAAAATGGAAAAAAAAAAAATTTCAGAACAGTGCTGTCTCGTTTACATTTTGGCATTTTCAAGTTGTGACTTTGAAGTTCCATGGGCCTGAAGACCTTTGCTAGTCACATTTTCTGAATATCCATAATACTAATATTTTATTATTAAAGTTGATGGTCATTATGCTGTTAAACATTATGTAATATTGCATCAAAATTTGAAAAAAAAAACTATTTTGGGCACTGCTCCCATGATGACCATTTAAGAAAAACCATGTCATTTACTGTTCTCAAACTTACAGGAAAGAAACATGGGACTAAAATACAGCTTCAGTAGGAAATACAGTCTGTTTGGTAATTCTTACTGCCAGTTAAACAGTTATTTTGTGAAAATTTAATTTTTCACATATTGGCATTTTCAAGGTGTGACTTTGAAGTTCCACGGGCTTGAAGACCCATGCTAGTCACATTTTCTGAAAATCCATGATACGTATATTTTATTATTAAAAATTGACGGTCATTATGCTGTTAACCATTATGTAATATTGCATCAGAATAGAAGAAAACACAATTTTGGGTGCTGCTGCCATGATGACCATTATGGGAAAACCATGTTACTTATGATTGCCGAACTTTCAAAAAAGAAATACAGGACTAAAATGCAGTCTGAGTTGGAAAAGCAGTCTAAGTGACTTCTTTTTCTGGAAGTTATACATTTTCAAAGTGTAAACTTGTCACATATTTTAATTACATTGGTATTACCTGTTGAGGATAATTAAAATTTGATGTTGAATTTGCAGTTTAACATAATGTACTTTTGCATCAGAATCGACAGTAGCCTATTTTGTGCATAGTTATTTCCTGTTTTTTGTCTGTACATTTGACAGCTTTGCTGCCTTGTTGACAGTGTAATCCCATTTTATCAATCACTTTAGCTTCTCCATAAGTCAAGATAAAAAGCTTGTTCTGTTCACTTTGAAGTTGGATCATTCAAAGATTAGAAAATCAACAAAAACATTTTTCTCTTGTGACCCCATGTTTTCCGCATTTTATGATATAGACAGACATTACCTTACTGTAACTGTAAAACATACTTTATCTGTGCATTTCAAACAAGACTTATATAAAAAGTTTTTGTACACAGTCTTTTACAAAAAAAAAAACTACACTTCTGTTCATTTGTGTTATCTTTTCTACACATTTATCTTAATTATTTATGTAAACTTGGCCATAAAAAGGAACATTATAAGCAGAGGTGGCAGCACATTTATAAATTTGGCCACATCATTCAATGGTTGAAGTTTTACAGCATGCATGTATAAAATACATGGATAGACACTGTACTCTAGTGTAAATATAGGTTGATAACTCTAGGAGTTCTATCTAGAGTTTCTCATTAGAGTCTAAGGGTTATGTACAGGACAATCTAGCAGGAGTGTCTGTAAATAGTAAGAAGAAGGGTTTGAGTAGACTTGGTATCTGTAAGAGAAAAGAAATGATATAGACTTTACTGTAATGGTAAACTATGTACAAAATACTATGTGCAACATATGGATACATAACAAGGTCATAAGTAGTTTGTGTTTAACAATTTATTAGCTTAGAAAAAAAGGTTAATGAGATATTTAAAAAAACCCTACTTTTTGGAAGCCTAGTAAAAGAAGAACAGTGATAACAGTGATTGGAATGGAACAAGTTGTTCTTTATTTTCTCATAAAAATTGCATGTTATAGCATGGGATGCATGAATGGGATCGTTACTGATCTAATATGGGAATTTTGAACATTGAGTTGTTAGTAAGTCATACTTAAAAATGGTTGAAACTGCAATGTATTTGTCCACACAAATAGTGATACAGTAAGCATGAGTGAGCAATTTCTTTTCATCGAGGCCACTTTTCTGTCACTTTTTTAAGTTGAGTCCTTTCAGAGTTACGATTTCAAGGAAAACTTGAGTCAATAATGCTTCAGGTCTAATATTTCTTTCTATAAGACACAAATATTTTGTCTTTTATCTTCCAGAGTTGTATCACCACCTTATCACTGCTACAGAAGGAGATGGCGCGAGAACAGGAACACTTCAACCAGTTGACCGCCCAGCTCGCGCAGGCACCGGACAACTCTGCGGAACAGGACAAAATCTCTGAGCAGCTTGTCCAATCACAGAACAGGTTACAAATGCTAATGGGAAGGAATATGAAATGTTTCAGTCAGGTGAGGTGGAGATTGATATAAATACATTGTCTCCAAAAAATCTTCTGCGTAAAAAAATTGGAAAAAATGGCAAATTTCTAACTTGTTATAAAAGTTATGCTCTGTGGTATTTATGACAGGTTAGATATAGATTGTGTTCTTGGTGACATCACAACAAACGCAATCAAATATTTAAGTCACAGGGATTAAAGCTGAAATTATGATAGCTGAAATGGGCACATGTGCACCTCTCTGTAAAAGAAGGTGGGGTCTTTTGGACCGTAAATTGTTGTGATTAAAGACATTCCAATTTCTGCTTAAATCAAGGTAGCAGATCATAGTTTGAAAGTATAAACACTTGATGATTCTGGATTTCTAGTTTGGCATTCTTTTATTACAGCAATCTTTCCATCCAAGTGTCCAAATCCAAGATGTACCAAATACTGAAACTGACACCAAGAAGAAGCCACCCAAGCCAGCCAGGGCAACCAATGGCTCAGTTCATGTTGACCAAGGGGTCAGGAAAGACCATAGTACTGTGGTGACCTCTGCACCTAAACTTACTGTGAAACCTTTGGAGATTGAGACGGAGAATTCCATTCCAGTTGAGATTAGAAACTTTCACTCTGCAGATGTTGTTATAATTGATCAGAATGATTCCTCTAATGGTAAGAAAAATGACGAGAAAAGAGAAAGTGACTTTGAAGAAAGTGATGAGGATGAGGAGGAGCAGAAATTTTTCATAACAGTCCCAGATGACATTAAAACTGATATAAAACTCTCTGTCAAACCAGAGCCCTATTCACAAACCAAAGAGGATGACCTTGTTGAGAAAACTGTTGCCCCTACAGTACAGGCAGTTCCAGATGGAAAGGATTTTAAACGTGAATCATCTGTGGACCGTAAAGCTAAAGCAGACACCATTGCACAGGCGGCATTCAGCAATTTAAAAGCTCAGAAACGAAAAAGTCAAAGTGAAGATGAAAGTCTGCCTGATGCAGAAGTATCCAAAAACATTCCAGTTAAAAATGTAATAATTATTGAAAAGACAGACAAAGTAGGTGATATGAAACCACCAAGTGAACCTTCCAAACCATCTCACAGTTCTGAGAACACACAAAACAAAGGCTCTGATGAACGTCACAAAGTTGCTGCAGAAATAACGCTTGGTGAAGAAAAGTCCAAAGTAAATGACCAATCAGAAGCACTTGTAAATGGCTCTGCAGAACCTCTGCCAGAAGTGGAGGAGATGTCTGTGAACCACCTAAAGGAGGAAACAATAGAGGCCGTTTCTCAGCCTCCGCCAAAGAAGAGTGGAGGTGTCAAAGTTATCAGCGGAAAAAAGGCCGAGGAGGAACGAGCTACAAAGAAAACTGCGGTGAAGCAGGAAGAGAGTAAGAATAGTGTCTTTGAGAAAGAAATTGTGGAAAAGAAGGAATCTCCTGTTTCTGCTTCAAAATCAGCAAGCACCTGGTTTAATTCTGGTAAGTTTTATTTTTATTTTTTGGGGCAATTTTTTTTTTATTACATTGATTACAACATTGTTTATGCAGATTTTGTTGATAAGTTATTAGAAAATGTCATTAAATATTTTGCCACTTGCTACTGATTTGTCATTAGCAGTAAATCAATTAGCTACACTATTAACCTTCCAATAATTGAAGTCTCATTTTTATGCAAGACAGAATATTACTTGGTATTAACAAGCTGTGGATATCTATTAGCATATTAATGTATATAATTGACATCTGGCCTTGCACTTTGACACATCCAGCAATTATCATGTAACATGTGGAAAAACGTGGAAAAAGTTGCAATCCATTTGTGACATATTTGTCATCTTGCACACTGTTACTGCTATTAAACGTCACAAAGGAATCTTGGAGACATCTCCAACTTTACATAAATAGTTCCTAATGTCAGTTTTTTAGAGTTTGTAATTGAAAGTTATTTTTTATGATCATTTTCTCTCTCCATAAATTGTGTCTTATTTGACCTTACTGTCTTGCCCATATGGTATTCATATACAGGTGAGCAAATTAAGATAATGATTTGAAGGTTTGTTTGGTTAATTTCTTAGGTAATTAAAATTATTTTAAAGTAGTAGAAAAAAGTGACTGTTATTGTTACAGGGGTGTTTCTCGTGTACCAGTTTTTCTGTATTCTACTCAACACTAGGAAGAAAACTGTGGGGACTCTTGCTGAATGCACTTATTTGGATCAGTTTACACAGGCCGCATTCAGAACAGTGAAGTAACTAGTCCGAGGGTCAAATATGGTGACCCATTATAAAGCTTGCCGTCTAATCCGTTATTAGACACTGAATAGATATCCTATAGGGAAGTATGCAAGTGGGTTGGCTATATTTGACACTCGGACTAGTTAGTCCACTCTTCTAAATGAGGCCATAGTACAATAGTTTTATTGGGAATACGCCCTAAATATACTAGACCATTTTTGTCTCAATGTTGGATCTGAATTTTGATACAAGTATCTCTCATGACATGATACCGGTGAATGAATATATCATTTGATGGGTGGTATACTCTTTTACTGAATTGGTTTTAAATCTATATGAGCTATAAACTGGCCCATACCTCAATGTCTTATAACATGTTGTCACTGCCTGTGAACTGTTATAATTTGAATTGATCATGGTGACATCTTGTGTAACACCTGGCGATGATTTCATGGCTTTAATGAATTGTAACGTCATTGATAAAAGCTGGCTTGAATTAAGTAGGCAGTTTTGTTCTTTCTCTTCACTGAAAAGTTATATAATAATGTGAAGTACTCTTTTGGGTAAACTGTTATCTTCAGTTTTTGATACTGGAAAAATGATTTGCTTATTAATGCCTTTTAAAGGTGGAAGAAATGTAATTGGTGTTCAAATTAAAGTAACAGGTCATGCTCTCATCCAATTAACTGATCTGTCCCATAATTAGCTTGGCGTGGCCGATGTCATGCCACTTGCCGTGACGACATGCTGGGGCCTTTTCTTAGCTCTCCTTGACGCAAGTCCGCTGTAGCAGCTGTCAAGATGGAGGATCTTCCCAGCATTCCCAGGTCAGGATCTTGAGGACGGCAGCTGTGACGGGCCATTACTTTAGTTATTAGAATACAGATGATCTCTGTGTGTGTGTGCAGTTACTGTTGGATGCAGTATCTTAAAGGATGAAGTCTGATCCTGTCAACAAGTAGGAAGGTTTGAAGATTAGGAACAGTGCATAACTCAGAAGGGGTTTAAATGTTGGAGTGGATTGCAGTTTCCTTGGAAATATCTCTATCAGAACCTTTTGAAATTGACCGTACAGTAAAAAAATCGAGGAATACAAACTAATTGGTAATATTTTGTACAGAATCCATAACAACTTCACAACCTTTTTTAGATTTTGTAGAAGAGGATTAATAACTGCATACAATACCATAGATGCTGTAGTAACTAGTTGACTTATTGCTGACGAATCATAAATGCAGAACTTTTGTTATTACTACCTAAAAAGGAGTAACTGACTTATTTCTACATGACTTTTTGGGTAAAAACCAGTCTCTGTGAATAGCAATGGAGAAGAACTAGATGTGTCTAGTGGACAGTTTTACCCCTAAGAAACTGGAATACCAGCTTCATAGGTGTCGTGCATTTTGTGTTTTATCTTAGCGCAGTAATCTCTGGGCAATATGTAATGTTTTGACTGAAGTTTTCTCATTCATTACTAATGTGACACAAGGCACAAAGATGCAGGTTGTGGAACTATTATACCAACTTACATTGAGTGGATTGAAGAAAAATCTGTGCCAGTTTCATCAATATTAAACCAGCATCTGCAAAATAAGTAGACGGTTTAGGGAACTGTCATTCAGAAAAGAACAATTGTATTTCATCGAATTTATGTTGTTAAATGCACTAGGCCAACAATAGCTATGTTTCTAACAAGAGTGCTTTTGGATTAAACCCTGTTTTATTTCCTTCAAAATGAGCAGCTGTCGTAAGCTGATCGTTTACTGGCAAAGTGGGGCGCAAGGTGGCAGCGCCAGCATGAACGACAAAAACTACACCACTTTGCCACAGTCCACTAAAACATTATCAGGGAGATATGTGAAGAACTCCTCGCCCAGAGACAAACGTCGATCCAGATCACCAATTTCTGCTTCTAGTCTAAACCCACCAGCTGTGGAGAAATTTTTCACTGGTTTGGGCACCTTCAAACTGGTACCGCCATCGCCGCCAACAAGATGGAAAAGCAGTTTTGGAAGCATTGGTAAAAGGGCAAAAAGCATCGCTGCTCTCCACATTCCGCCAGACACTGACAGCGAGGAGGGCGAAGTGGAGGACGCTCCCAGCCCAACTGGTGGTTTGAACAAGAACAATATTTTCTTACGAAACGATTGGGTTCACAGGAGTCACAGCACTCTGGGGCCTGGCGGAAAATCAAAAGCGGTTCGTCTGATCACCCTGCGAAAAAAACAAAATGGTAGAGAAGAGGAGAGTTCAGGGCCACAGTATCTGAGCAAAATCACCCTGAGTACCCAAAAGTACCCAGATTCTGATGATTCCAGTAGTAAATATGCCACCCCCTATGTCACACTTAAGAAAAGGCACATTGGGGGGAGTGCGTCCACTTGTTATAGCAGCCTCAGCGGCTCTTCCAGGTATGGAGGAGATACTACAGAATGGTCATGTGATAGTAGTGAATTTTGTGTCTCTTCAGGAGGTGAGGTAGATGGTGAGGTGGACCAGGAGGAAGAAATAGTACAGCCAAGGGTGACCTTGAAGAATTGGGACCCTGTAAGCATATTTTGTAATTTTTATAACCATAATGATTGGGTTTTTTTATTTACCACTAAACTTACACTGTTCCTGTATTCTCTAATTCTATTCCTCTTGGTGGCCAATTGAATTTTGATTTTTTAAATCTGACTGTCTTTCTGTTTGACTTTTGTTAATCTTTTCACATGCTTCTACTCTGTCACACAGGCACCGCAAATATATATGTATATATATATATATATATATATATATATATATATATATATATATATATATATATATATATATAATGACCCCTTTGTATGTCTAAATTGCTGCCTGGCACAGCTGTTGTTTACCCTTAAACTGCCAAACCATATTTTTGTGTTTTTCTGGGTCCTTTGTTAATCTTTTTATTTAATTTTTTATTTGTTGTGTTTTTACTTATGGAAAGGAAAGAGGATAAAAGATTGCTGTCATATGTAGAAATATGGGTCTCTAACTTTAACGTAGATATCCATTTTAAGAAAAAAAAAAAAGCTCTAACATCCTTGAACGTCACTGCCAAAAGTGCATGTCTGCGTATTTCTGCTTGACGCCTGCCAAGGTGCCACACCTTGGAGAGTTAAATGTCAGTATACTGTACTAATAGGTCAGCCAAATAGATGTGTAAATATATTGGTCATGGTGGCAGGTGTTCAGCCCCTCATGTCTGCTTGCTATCATGGCAGTTTTCACCACACAATTTATCTTTTTGATTTATCACTTATTTATTATTGTCTATTTTCTTATTATATATTTTTTTCTTTTTTTCATTCATTAAAGTGTTGTCGACCATTTTCCTAGCTTGTTCTTTGCATCTCCATTATTATGTTTTTGGGTGATATTTAATATCTTCCTGAATATATTTTAAGTAGTGAACTCTGCATTGCGACCTTTCTGTACATCATTTTAGTTGGTCACACGAAAAAAAAACAAAAAAAAAACAATGGAATGAAGACGTTCCTCCATACTCCATTTCCATAATCATACTATTGTCACTTAAATGTTTAAGTTTTTCTTTCTCTATATCTTTTGTAGGTGAAATTGATGAAGGAGATATATAGAATAAAACTTGAACCTCAGGTATTTGTTTTTCTGACAGATATTTATTGTTTATTTTTCTCATTTAAGATGAGCTGAAATAATTCGTAAACAAACTTGTAAACATTTTTATCAACATAAACAATTACAAGTATTAACAGACCTTTGAGTGATAGTAACCACTTACTTTGGAACTAAAATATTAATGGAAGTATGTTTCGGCCCACATATCAGGACCACACATCGATGGGTGTTTGTAGACCTGTGAATGATTTCACTCTAAATAGTAAAGTAAATTCCTTGGAACCATGAACAGTCTTATTGATAAGGAATTACAAGGTAAATTATTCCTGATTTGTGTAAAGTGCCAAGGTAAAAACGATTACATATATCACCAAGTTGTTAAGATTCAGAAAGTAGTCTCTTAACCACCATTTTACTTCTACTTTTATTTCGTGTCAAGGAGGATGAAGACCTTGCCACCAAGTTCATCACCATGGAAGGTTACATGGAGAAATTACCCATGGGAAAGAAAAAAGCTACATTGCTTAAAACATGGAAAAAAAGATACTTCCGAGCCAAAGAAGGAAATTTGTTCTACTATGACGTAAGTATAAAAATTGGTAACTATATGACTGAAGTGACATTTACAAACATTAAAGAGAAAACAGGGTTGGATATTGCTCATTATATTACTCTCTAAAGGTACAACATCACTTAAATACTATATTGAGGGCTTGCACAAATAACCCTGTATTAGGAAACAGAATTACCCTCTATTGAAATTATGCCACTAGCATCGTAGATTTAGGCTTCATTCACATGCAATGTCTATTTTCTAAATTCTATTTTCTATTCGCGGTATGTCTTATGATCACGGTCTGTGCCCTGAATATCCCGCGGCGTAATTACTGGCAGCGCGAGCCAGTTACTATAAGTTACTATAAGTAACTGGCTCGCGCTGCCAGTAATTACGCGGGGGGATATTCAGGGCACAGACCGTGATCATAAGATAGCGCGAATAGAAAATAGATTTTTAGAAAATAGACATTCCATGTGAACGAGGCCTTAATGTATTTTAGATACTTCTTAATAAGAAAACTTCAGTATGAATAAGATTATTTATGTCTGCCATTTTTCATTAGAAAAGGCGATGAAGTAAAAAGTTCTTTTGTTTAAGTAATTAACAGTTTTATTTAAAATCTCAGCACAGACTCACCATTAACTCAAAGTACACTTCTTTCATTCTTTACAAATTAGGACACGGAGGTAGGTAATGTTGTCATGGTTTCATGTGTTGCCATGACTACATGTTGTGTTGCCATGGCTACATGTTGTGTTGCCTATGTGTTCAGCCATTGCAGCCATTGATTTCATGCAGGATTTTGGAGCTATTTGGAGGTCCCTGGTTCAGAATAACATACTAACACTCCTGGTACCTTGTGTTTTTATTGCCTAAGCTTGTCTTGAAGTACTCGGTCTCGTATCCATGGTGTATCTGTTGTATACAGTTGGTAAACTGGTCGAGGTTTATTACTAACCAAAATACATCTCTATATCAACATGACAAATTGACCCGGGTAGCTGTTTTATCCTTTAAAATTAAAAACCCTTTTGCAGTACACGCCCCATTGAGTCACAGAGAAAGGCAGTCTTTTTCCTTACTGTTAAATTCAAACACTGACAGTTGGGGTTCAAATTCTTATTCTGGCAATACCCACTTCCCAATAACATGTCTTGGTATCAGTAGAGACCCAAAACCCTTAACACTCATGAGGTGATCTTTTGTTAAATTAAATGTGGATACAATTTTTGAAGGAAGGGACAGGGCCAGTACCTACTAACAATTCACACTCTTTGTGGCCGTCATTATTTGTTTATTCATATGCAATATTATTGTTGTCCTGTACAAATTATGTTGTCAAAATCATGTCTTTGTACATAAACATTTTGTTTCTATTAGAGCTACCAGTATACCATTCCTATGGCCTAATGTTGGTTAACACTGAATACCATTGCAGACAGCAGTGCAATATTTATGAAACTTCAAATATATTTATAGAAATTAAGCAAGTTATGAAAGGAAAGGTGTAGTTGTTAAGTTAAAGCCAGTTTTGGAACTTAAAGAGTGATAATAGCAGCTACATATGCCTTATATGTGTTACAGTAGAGAAAAGGTTTGATGTGCCAGCTTATAGCAGCTCTGCCAGATTTTAAGTAATTTTTTATAGGATTTTTTTCTTTTGAAACAGTTGATAGCTTAGCACATTTTTAAAATAAAAAAAAATATTTTAAAAGAAGTTTGGAAAAATAGCTTTTGATTAAAAGAAAATGCAAGGTTTTTACATAGACAGAGTTTCATTACCACTTGATTTGAATGTACCATCACCAGCGTTAGGTCACTGGGTCTTATGTGGGTGTTAGATTGCAGTACCGTCACCAGCGTTAGGTCACTGGGTCTAAATGAGTGTTATATTATAGTACCATCACATTTGTTAAGTTAACGCGTCTTATGTGAACCTTTCAGCTTTGTTTAGACCTTGCTTGCAAAAGGTAGATGTATAATATTTGGAGAATATGCCAATGTCATCAAACTACTATTTGACTTCTATTGTTTTCAATTTATATATATATATTTTTTTATTGGCACACAGTCACGCACATACTGTCTAGCCAGGACTAATTCTTCCATGATGCCACCCTGTTTTGCCATTTTTACAAGCTTTGGTGTGTATACAAATAGTGCTCGATTCATAAATTGAAAGATAAATAAACTGCCCCAGCTAAGTAACACAATGACATTATCCTATTAATCTACATTGTACCTGTATCCTATAATATTTCCAGAGCCAGAGACAGGACCGTCCCAGTGGGTTTGTCCAGTTAATGGGGGGCACTGTGGATGAGATAGGAGGGAAGGTACTGGGGATTGACGACGGGGTAAGGATCTGTATTTAAAAAAATGAATTTTTTTCAATGGTGGATGATATTTAGCTGCTTACGCTTTCAATAAAGATGCATTTTTCAAGCAGCATGATGGATTCACCCTTTTGACATTCCTGTGTAGTCCTGTCCATAAAAAAAGTCTGTGATGTATTGCAAAACATGTTAGATGTCATTTCAAATTTCGTATTTTTATTTATGTATTTATTTTCATCATTTATTTATTTATTATGTAGTTTTGTAAAATTACTTAAACATTACCTTAATGGTTGGTATGAGTCAATAACTATTGGAACTAAGTAATAATCAAATATTTTTGCACCCACAGCGAGGTCACTACCTCATGGTACGCTGTCCCACTGACAGAGAATATAATGACTGGAAGGTGGCGCTGGAGTCACAGACTGTAGACCATAGTGAGGCTACGTATGTGCGCCCAGTGCTTAAACCAACGCCACATAAAACAAGGGTATGTATACGTATAGGGGATTTTATATGCATATCATATAATATTTCTTTCTTTCTTTCATTTTTTGCTTTTAAGAACAACTAAATTATTTTTTGGCAGAAATGTATTTGTTGGATTTAGTGAAGCAGATAGATTTTTACATAAAATTTGATGTTTAAAGATATTAATCAGTTATCTCAACATGTTTACAATGTAGGAAGCTAGCTATTGTACACCTTATTTCTAACCTTCATGTTAAAGACATTCATTGATACATTCATCTAAATATTTTCATCCACAGAAGGTGATAGTGCTGGATCTAGGCAGCTGTTCAGTGAGAGCTGGGCTACTGGGAAAGGAACGTAAGTCAAAAGAAGTCATCTTCAAAAAGAAAAAAAAAACGTGGTCAGGATCTGTATTTATATCCCATAGACTCCCCCCCCCAAACCAAAGAAAAAAAATTATGGAGCTGTAAACTCTCTGTGCTTACATTTTATTGGCAATAGTTGCCCATTAATCAACTAAAATTTGTTTTCTTTAAGATATGCATTGTTGTTTAAGTTAACAATGTTGATATTCTCTCTCTCCCAGCCTCTTTGCCTCAAGTGTTCTTCCCCTGTGTAGTGGCTGTCAACAAGACTACAGGACAGAAGTTTTATGGTTTTGATGCCTACAAACCTGATGTCAGGGATAGGTCTACCCTGGTGCATCCCATAAAGCCTTCCATTAAAGTGGACAAGGTAAGAGATCTTAATTTATTAATTTATTTATTTATTTATTTATTTATTTATAGTCATCCTATAAAAGCATACAAATATTTTTACAGTGTGTGCATGTTTTTGTGTTTATTGTTGGAGCACCTCAGGAAGACAATTATTTTGCTGAAGTTCTCAGATATAAAGATTATTGAACCATGACTTAGTCTTTTATATTGTTAAAAATTTCTGTTCTCCAGTTTACTCTTGACCTGGAGCTGTTGCCTGGAGTGTTGGAGAAGGTGTTCCAGGAATTACAAATAAATCCTGCAGAACATTGGGTAAGAAACTTCAGATCATTTCCTAGATATAGTAATGTCCAGTCGTTTCTTGAAGACAAGTATTCTCTGTTTTCTCATTAATTTTCTCATTTATTCACTCTTATAATTTATTTGTTGCACAAAAAGGGTGTTTTGATTTGTTTTTTCTTCAAAAATCTATTTCTTAACATTTTGTTTTGGTTTTTCATTAGAACAATCATTATAAACTGATTAAAGATATGGAGAAAAGTCTTTTTTGATTTAAATTAGTAAATTGGTTTATTTCCATATTTTCCATCAGGTGATGATGAGTACCCCCCACAACAGTAACAATAACAACCTGAAGGAGGACCTAAGATTTATTTAAATAAAGAAAATTTAATTTCCATATTTTCTCGTAGGTAATGATGAGTATCCCCCAGAACAGTAACAAGCTGAAGGAGGACCTGATGACCCTCCTCATTGACCAGTACAGTGTGATAGGGGTCAGTATGGTGGCCCAGCCTATCCTGGCTCTCTACTCGTACAGCAACTCCTCAGGGGTCATTGTGGACATTGGGGAGAGGATGGACATTGTGCCTATCATTGATGGTCAGTGTAAATATACACTGTGGTGTTAACTTGATCCTTATTAATGAGTGAAGGCCTTATTGGACTCTGGTGTGGCCTATATATATAAATGATATATTAATATAATACTTAAATAGCTCAACGCTGCACTCATTTAAAAAGTATTAAAACAATATGTACATAATTCTAGGATATTTGAATAGCTCATCGCTGCACTAATTTTGTGAAGATCCTACTGGAGAAACAACATACTGTAAAGAATTTCAAAAATATAAATATGATGAGATTATCAAAATAATTCACTTTTTCTGCAGGTTACATCGTTGATGCTGGTCTCACGCGGCAGGCATATGGCGGTCAGAGGGTGGCAGACGACCTCAACCATAAACTGACAGAGAATAGGTATCACTTTTCTACGGAGGTAGAGAAATGGATAGTCCGTTATGTGCTGGAACAGGTGGGTATTGATAGTTTATGGTGGAAGATAGAGGAATTTACTGGTGTAGTGATATGTTCTCATTCCTGCTGGTAGGGTCTTTGTTAATCACTTCTAAGGCATTTTCCTAAGCAAGATGGAATTTTATTAAATTACAGTTTTGAAAAATTGAGGAAATGAATAGGAGTCTGATTCAGAATATATGAAGCATGTGTTTTAGAAAATAAGTATCATTAATGTCTGTGGTGCTGTGACTGGAAAGAGTTCTTAAATTGATAAAACTTCATCTGTATGTTCCAGATCTGCTATGTAGCCACAGATTACAACCAGGAGCTGGTGGAGTGCAGTAAAAACCCAGCCGAGTTCAGAAAGGCACTGAATCTCACCAACTTCGACGTACCTCAGGGCACCTGTGAGAAGGTTGACCTGGAGGCGGGGCGGTTTATCAGTCCGGAGGGTTTGATGAACACAGAACTGTGGGGGATGGACAACCCCACGGTGCCCAAACTGGTTCACAAGGCAGTGCAGGCGTGCCCCATGGACCACAGGAGAGAGATGTACAGGTAATGCTGAGATGTGAGAGGAAAAATACCAGAGGATTGGAAGCTTATCCTGTCTCTTTGCAGCAGTAATTTTAGCCACAGTGGTTAGTTATACCAGTTAGCTGTAGACTAGTTTGAACTTCTTCTTTTTACTGGTAATTAAGTGATTACACAAATATATGACACAGGTTCTTGTGGAATCATTCCAGACACATCTATTTAAGTGGAGGAGTCACAATGCTGCCTGGCTTTGCTGAAAGATTACAAATTGAACTCTCCAAACTGGTGCCTTCTTCCATTGTGGTGCAGGTAAATATGTCACACCTAACACAATGACTGAGATGTCACACCTAGCACAATTGTGCTCATCATGGCTCATAGCTATGTTGTGTAGTGATGCACTTGAATAGATTTTGAAATCCATCATTTTGATACTTGTGTAGTCACTCATATCCTACTTAATACTATTTAAAGTTCTTTATTTTATTTTTATTTATTTTGTGCGTGTGTCTGTGTTTGTGAATCATTTATACCTGAAGTAAAATGATAGTAACAGATCTACCATTATCCCACCTGCCTGTCCCTATTTCTCCAGGTACATGCCTCCCCCCAGAGGTACCATGCTGCCTACATTGGCGCCAGCACCCTGGGGAACCTGGGGGTGTTTGAACAGACTTGTATCACCAGACAGGAGTGGAAGAGCCAGGGTACACAGGCCTTTAAGAAGTGGACGTAGATTAACTGGATATCTGTATTACCAGACAGGAGTAGAAGATCCAAGGGACGTGGACATTTAAGAAGTGGACATAGGCTAACTAGATATCTGTATCACCAGACAGGAGTGGAAGAGCTAGGGGACACAAGCCTCTAAGAAGTGGCCATAGACTTATTAGATATCTGTATTACCAGACAGATAAAGAGTTGGAGCACAGGCCTTCAAGAGGTGGCGGTTGACCTATCAGACGGAGCCATATCACCAGGAAATGTCTTATGTTTGGTATTTGAACTTCAAAAAGAGACAACGTGAACACATACCTGTATCAGGTATAAGAGGAATTCCATTAGACACAAGCCTTGGAAAGTGGGACTAAGATAAAATTAAAAACATTAGAAACAGTGGTGTATTATAGCCCAGCAGAAAAAGAAATCTTTAACCAGACAAAGGGCAGAAAAAGAAGAGAAAGGAGGTCTATTTATATTGAGCTTGTCTGGGAAATTAAAGACATGGTTAAGTAAGCTTCAATACCCTTGAAATAACTCTGATATCGGAGAGATAGGTCTGTTAGTATATCAAGTCTATGAAAAAAAGTCCAATAAACCTCATTTTTTCAAATGAGACATTCTGAAATATAGATGTAAGATTTAAGGACACAGACCTTAAGTAAAGCCTGATAGAAAGGATAAAGGTCTTAACAGTATCAAGAATGTATTACCATTTATGATATTATATATATCAACATTCCTCTCCAGTTTAATTCATTGGAATTGTGATCATATTGAATCCATTCCAGATGTAAGGACCATACCAGTGCCTTACTAAAATAACATGGGGGCCAAGTGACCTAGATCAGTAAAAATTACAAACTTTGTAGAAATAATTTAGCATACAAAATCTGGGAGAGACATTTTCCTAATTTGGTGAAATGTAGGTCATAAATAAGGAACCCTTACCCTTATAGTTAGTTTGTGACAATCAGGTATTTGTTTTATGTATAGGTATACGTTTAGTATAATGTATAATTTATTACATTTTTATGAAGATGTTAATTGATGTAATGTCAGTTGACTCAAGTTAATTTCAAGTAGGGGGAAGTGAAGTCAGTATAAAACCAGTAGTGGTACACTTCAACTTGACAAGTAAAATGGTTTACTCTGCATTTTCTCTTTTACTACAAATTGCAGTAAAATTTAATGATTTTTTTTTTCAAATGTTGGTTGTGAAATGTAAATTATCGTTGGGTCCAACAAAAACATTCCTTTACTTTTACACAAAATTGATGTTATATTTGAAAAGTTTATATTTGAGACCCACGTATTTGGGCCTATTTAAAAGTTGGTTGGATAAGTTCAAACTACAATTTTTTTTTCACGAAATGGTTGTTAGCCCTGTTGGTAATATTAAATGTCCACCGTAATTAGTTATCTGCATATTTTCCCTTTTAACTGTAGATAATTAATATATATATTGTATCATTAAACTTTATATCACATATTACGGCGTGTTGCAATGTCATTAAATGTTTTTATGTCATAATTATTAATTCACAATATCAGAGCAGTATATGCATAATATATTGAACTACCAAATGTTATATATATATGTTTAATTATGTGTAATTATTGTATTTTAAAATTGTTTACAGATGCAATTTACTGTTTTGTCTTCCTTGACTACAAAATAAAAGTTCATTTGAAGAAAACATTGTTCAGACTATTACTGTTATTATTTATATTTATATTTATATTATTATTTATATAATAGATGGAATTTAGTTCTTCTGTGTCATTGAATTACCAAGAATGAAGCTCATTGAATTTGTTTTACATTTTGCAGGTAGGTGTAAAGATTTTTAAAATAAGAAGGAAACTGAGAACTATGATAAATCTCATGGGGATAATAGTGAATTGATGTTACCCATAATTTGTTGAATGACAAACTGACATTTTCAAAAACTGAAGGTTTTCACTCCACTGCGTCCAGAATTACAACATAAAATTTAACTTGCACATACATTCTTTTACCATTATTATTTTTATTAACTGAAAGTTCAGTTATATAACATGATGCATCACTTATTATTACTGAGAGAACACCATAAAAATAATCATAACCATTCATATTTAGTAAAAATGTTTATAACTACAGCTACGTAGACTGGTGGGCTACAAATCACCAGTTCACTGATAAAAGTTCTCCAAGGTCCCATTCGGAATAGATGATCCTAGTACTTACTGATCTGCAGACTAAATATGGCCGACCACAGTTCTAAAGTGATGCTGCTGATTCCTGATGTTCTCCCCGCCACCACACGTGCCGTCACTGCAGGGGCCTAGCAAATAAACCTAAGAGCTGAGATTTAATCCATTTAAAGGCACGTGTGGAGTCAGTCAGGAATCGGCATCATCGCTCTTGAACTGTGGTCAGCAATATTTTGTCAGCGTATCAGTAAATACTGGGATCATCTGTTCTAAACAGGGCCTAAGGTGGGCTATTTACGTCCCCATAGTTGCCATGATGGTATTGCCTTGGCTTAAAAAGATGAAAAATGCTGAACTATCACAAAGAATAGAAAGAACTGCCATGTACATACGTGTATTCATTTATCCAACTTTTTCTTTTCTTTGAAGCACCATTAAGAACTAAGAATTTTTATACCCATCCTATTTTAGGACAAACTTAAACCAGAAAAGACCCGTCTTTTAAAACAGTGGAGACCACTAGTAACTACATTCTACTACCAAACTAACACAGCAGCTGTTCAGATGGAAAACTTACATAACGTAATAATTATATTAAAACTAATGCACAAATTCGTAAACAATATATATTTGTTGGTGAAAATGGTGTATCTGAATTCATATTTTTTTGTATAAATGGTCATGAATTACATGATTTGTTCTGAATAAAATAAAGATCTTTCTCAAATTCAACACAATATGCAAATATTAAAATGTGCAACAAAGTTCTAGGTCTCTTGCCTCATGAAATGTCATCTAAACCAGAGGTTCCGCCATTAATTCATTTGATGCGAAACTCTTGTATGCCACTGCTCAAGTTATATGTGTCCAATGAGAAGTCCCAGCACCTTAGTGACGATGATGATGATTACTCTATACAAGAACTCGAGAAAAATCTGAATAAAACATGGATTTGATTCATTTGGGCCTCCAATGTAGACCGTGCACCCTTCATTCACATGCACACTTGTCTGCACATGTTCGCGTGTGTCCGCAATCCTGTTTTCCAGTCCACATCTTTCAGCACAAACACCCCTGCTTGAACAACAATCTGCTTAAAAAGTACCGCTCTCCAGCATAAATGCACGTGTGCCCCATGTCAGCATGCACATGTTCCCATTAATACAGCGACCACGTGACCCCAGACCACCGTAGCAACCTGTACGTTCCCCATGACAACAGTCCTACCAGTCCTGCCCTGATGATCCATCTGAATGCTGTCCCCACCAGAGTGGCAGGGGGGACCCTGGAGATCACATATAATACAGAGGACAATATTAAGATTGCTGTCCCCACCAGAGTGGCAGGGGGAACCCTGGAGATCACATATAATACAGAGTACAATATTAAGATTGCTGTACCCACCAGAGTGGCAGGGGGGACCCTGGAGATCACATATAATACAGAGTACAATATTATGATTTTTTTGTGTTGTTTGATTTAAGTGGTTTCTGGACAATAAGTATAAATTATTATATTATTCTTGTATTGTAATTCGTCCCTTTTTTTTTATTAGAAACACTGTAATCTAAAATCAGATGCATTTTTAACATAAAAGCTTAGAAACAATGAATTTTTGCCTTTAATAAATTTTCAACTGTCACAATCGTCCCTGTAATTAGAAAACAAACACAACTTGTGCCCACTTACGTCATAATATCCTGAACATTGTGTTCCTCCTCCCAATGTTCCTTGATGCCAGGCAGGTGTCCTATCCCTACCACCCCTACCACTACTGATGGAACCACATCTGAAATGATACAGTTAGATACAATGTTATATCTTTATTAATATGATACAAGTGCCCTATCCCCACCACTACTGATGGAACCACATCTGAAATGATACAGTTAGATACAATGTTATATCTTTATTAATATGATACAAGTGCCCTATCCCCACCACTACTGATGGAATCACATCTGAAATGATACAGTTAGATACAATGTTATATCTTAATTCAACATGACATGAGGCACTTGTCATCACTTGAATAATGTATTAATAACTAATGGATATCGCTACAAGGTAAATAGATAATAATAAATAGATTATGTCAAAATTATCTAATTTAAATATTCACTCTCACTTTTTTTACCCATGCATCAACATGACTCCTTCCTTGCACACTCATTTGCACACGCTCTATCTCTCTAACACACTCTCTCACATATACATGAACACACTCATGCAAGCACGCACGCACACACTCAAAAACACACACATACAGACACGCACACACACACATACAGGCACACACACACCATGCAAAGATTGGTGACCCAATATCTATTTCTCTCTCACCTCCATCTAGTTCTGGATGAGGAAGTGGCTGTGCTGCAATCTTGAGGGAATTAGCTAAGAATATGTCTCTTTCCTGTACAAACACTGTACTAAGAGCAGGATAGTCTCCCGTCATCTCCTTCAACATTTCCTCTAGAAGATCCTTCTGTTTGCACTTCTCTACATCTTCTTTGCTGGAAAAAAAAATAGGTAAATGTTTCAAATATATCATCTCTTGAAGCATGCTAAATTTGAAGGTCCATGTACTCTTCAATAAACTTTCACCATGATATGGATTTATTATAACCAAATCAAGGAGGAAAATTAACTGCAGACAGAGAATACAACTTCTAACACAGCTGCCCTATGCTAAATAACATCTGTCCCTTATGAGATAAAAGTGGCAGGGTGAATAAATTAAGTCATAAAATTCTAATACAATCTCACTACTAGCTAGTACCTTATAGGATCTTTAGTTGTGAGCATATAAAAACCTAGCCTGAGTTTCTGCCACCATGACAGGGCACCTAGCGCCCTCTTTAGTGTGATTCCTATTGGTCGATCTCCTAGATGTACCCTGCAACCTGGAATGGTTTGAGCCTGTAAGGAAAGCATTTTATACAGTGATAGATGTAAGTGCAGTCAATCATTCAGTGATAAACAGGATCAGTGATAAACAGTAAGTTACTCAAATTCCAGTGGTGATGCAGATTGTGATAACGATTTCTTAGCTCAATAATGGGGTTCAAGTATTTAAAAAATATCATATATGAAAAGAAAAGTTTGATAAACCTTTTACCTCTCTCTCTCTCTCTCTCTCTCTCTCTCTCTCTCTCTCTCTCTCTCTCTCTCTCTCTCTCTCCATCTATCTCAAACACACGCACACACACACACACACACACACACACACATAGCCTCATACCTCCTGGAAAGCCCTCCTGAACTCCCCACCGGGCGCCATACCCAGCTCCTTGGTGAGGTGTGCAGACATGCTGAGGAGCAACAGATGGAGCACTCCTTGGAGGAGGCCATTCTGAAATATAATTGATTCAAAGTATTATATACTGGGCTCTTGTTATAGATGGGCAACTGCAATTTCACACAGATGTATATACTATTTAATACTTTCTTCTCAAGTAAATTAAAGTTCCCTACTGGTCTTTTGAACGTCTATTAAGTATTTCTAATTTTTCTTGTTTTTCTGAGTTGTATATGACAACAAAAAGTTTTCCATGTTGACAACATTTACAAATATCTTATTTCAAGCACCGTGTGCCCCTGACACCCCCAAGTACCTGTTTTATTGCTACCCTAATTTTCTGCAGGTTAATATTCTGAGCCTCCTGCAGCAGCGTGCTCTCGTCCAGCTCCAATATGTTCACTCTACTTCTACATAGCTCTAGAACCACTATGTCTGGCTGCACAGCGTGGATGGTCTAGAAATAGGAATACTACACCATAATAAAGCAGTGGAGGTATTTATGTCAAATTTACTTAAGTTTTTTATGACTATGTTGCATGGATACTCCAGTCATCTTAAGCATTTAGTGAGTAAAATTATGCAGATCTATAAGTTTTGAGTCAGGAATAAGACCATGATAGCATTAAGAGAATAGATAGCATATAACGCATATTGTAGATATATTATAAATATACTAAATCACAAATTTCATTTATTACTCAGTCCAATATATCACATTTTCTCAAGAGTTTTCATTTTCTCTGTAAAAGAAACCCCTGATATGAACCAAACTCCCCTCACACATCTTATTTTTTTCATAGCAGTTTTCTTTTTTCTATTAACCAAAGCATATAACCTTTACCTTGGCCACGTCCTCCTGGCTCTCTTCGCTGAAGTGCGCTGTGCCCACCACATATACCATACAGCCGTCCTTGGTCTCCAGCTTGGCCACCGTTCTCGGCAGCTCGTCCACCGGGTGCCTGTGGAGACGCTGACTGGGGTACATCATGTCATCGAAGTTGTCTTCTACGTCCGATTCCTCTCCACCTGAGCTGTCATTTTCACTGCCTAGCAACAGGAAAGGATTGGAAGAATTTTTAGCTCTTTTTTGATAAGAATTGAACTTAGGGAAGTGATTCAGTTTTATCCTTAAGATCAAACATGGTTGAATTTTTTGTCTCAGTTTTGTAATTTTGTTTTAATGAAGCAAAGCTTGATCAAAATGATATTATATACTAAATTAAATATTCTATACAATAAAAACAAGAACGAGAATAACTTAAGTTCTCTGGTAACTTTCCATACAGATAAATGAGGCGTACTGATGTATCAGCCCCTTTAAATATCATTTTCATATATCTGCTGAAAGTCTGTAACACACACACACACACACACACACACACACACACACACACACACACACACATACACACACACACATACACACACACATACACACACACACTATGCATCTGGATATAAACTTTTGCTATGCTAATCACATGCCTTGGAAGGTTCTGTATTAATCCATATATGACTGTATCATATCATTAATATTGGATCAATGAGCAGCAATATATATATATATATATATATATATATATATATATATATATATATATAATATAAACATGTGGCATGAAAACCAGATAAATGTTGTAATCAAATCAATAGCTAGCACTTGGCTTATATACATGTGCACGCAAATATGCAAGTACAGACACACTCACATGGCTATGTGTGTTGTAACAAATGTTTTTGTCCCAATAGGAAAAATTTAGAATAAAATACAAATTACAATAATTAGACCCTTTTATTGCATGTCTGACAACCTTTGACCTATAGCAACTTGCTTGGTAAAATACCTGAGTCTTCCAAGGAATCCTCCCCTCCCCCGTCATCCCCTGTATTCCCAGGCGGGGCATCATCTCCTGTATTACCTAGAGGGTAACCATATCCTGTCTCCTGTACTGGGGCTCTCTCAGTATCTACAACAAATAAACACCATTACCAAGAAAGAAAAAAAAAAAAAAGAAAAGAATTGTCATCAAAAGGAATGGGATGATTCAAGTTGCTAATTTTCTTTCCTAAAAAGAAGTTACTAAGTATAAGTATGTCACATTAACTTATTAATTTGCTTCTGCTTTGTTAAATGATTAACAACAAACTGAAAACAAAATCTGATATAATCTTACCAACTAAATCTAGTCATGTCTCTTGCTTTCACAGCATAAACTTTTCTATACATCTTACATAAAGTGCATCCTTTGCAAGTCCTTTTTTTGCATTTTCGTATATAATATGATGTATTTCAATTAAAAGAATGCTTACTAATTTGTTCAATGTCAGCACCATCCTCCTCACCTTTTTCTTGTTGATGTGCATCTGTAAACAGATTGAAAAAATCTACTTATATATTCATTTTTTTCTAGATCTACACATATCAATAGCATATTATTTTGGTGAGAAATGAAGAATTATCTTCAATAACAGTATTACTGAGAAGAAGGCAGGCACAAACTGACACAATGAGAAAATTTAATGAACAAATTTTTGCCAATGACTAGTACACGTATAATTAGTTTGTCTTACAGAAAATCAAAAGCATTTGCACAAATTCTTTTTGATACCAATAAACACAACCCGCAAAACATCTCAATTATTTCATCATATATCATCACCTGACTTGATCACATTCTAAAAGTAAACTTTGACTTAAGTTTTAAATATCATTCACAGGCCTGTGAAGGGAAAAACAAAAAGATGGCTATGTGAAATGATTTAGAATTAGTAGACCTTTAAGTTTAAGAATACTGCTTACATCTGACATGCTGAAATAGATATTGATAATCTACAAACAAACTTGGCACCATAAGCTGATGCTACCAGTGACAGTGAAATTGATACAGCCATGAGAGAGCTTTGTCAATTTCACCCCTGGATAATTTCTAAATATGTGGGCACTTAAATGAAAAACTGGTCGCATAAACATGAACTGATGTTTGGAAAATAGAAGGAACGATTTACACAAATAACACGCACTATGGTGTCGTAACAGGTAGAATCGTAATTCAGTTTTGACGATATGTTAGAACAAATGTTAGAAATACCTGAACCATTCGACCCTTCCATGCTGTGTCGTCTGTGTACACACGTTCTGATGACGTAGTGTACAAAACTGCAATGGCCGCCGTAAGAACGAAACTTGACAGATGCAAGGTGGTTTTTCGCATTTACATTGTAATTGGAGGTTAAATCCATATAGAATTTTACCATGCTTGAGGGATGTGAGCTTACATTCGTTGTATTAAAAGGAGAATGTGAGCATGTCTTTTCTTGAAGTTAATTAGCAATAACTGTGACACGTTGCACTTCGAACTTCCAAGACGAGCCCAACACTAGAGGTAAACAAGTGGAGGATGGGGAACGTGGAAACGCACGATCTGTCTCCCGTGAGGGAGCACGAAAGAAAGGAGCTGAACCTCAGCCGTAGGGTCAACTACAAACAATACTGCAGGGTAATTTTGCGCTTTATTCCATTACTTCTATGAAAAATTGATAACCTATTATTTTGCAGTTATTGGAGCATAGTTATATATTAATTACTTGTATGGTTTCTTTGAATTATTCAAAGTATACTTATATAATGCATTTATTGATCATTCGTGAACAGTGTATGAATATCTTATCAGGACGTTTGATATATAGCGACAGTCACACCAGATTTTCTGATCACTGAATATTTGATACTCTATGCATATTTCATTTTGGGCCGGGTGTGCGTTGATTTCATCTGACCTACAATTTATTGTGCTGACTATATTGTTAGAGTAAATTAATCTTCTTATTGCTCACACATTGTTTAATCAGCCCTCATAATTTCTGGTTGTTGGAGTTCTTATTTGAAAGAATAAATCCATATCATCTGTTTTATTTTAATGCTAAATTAAGTGCAGGATTTTACAATATTTACATCCATATTTTAGCCAAAATTATTTTTATATATATTTTAATTTTAAAGAAAGGACACCAATTATAGTGAAAAGTGATGCCTCCTTCCTAGTTGACTGTACATATACCAACATAATCTTCTTTTTTCAGCACATGAATGGTGAATCATGTGAGACAAGTTTAATAGAACTTCCCTGGTCCATCGTGGATTCTATCTCCCTGTATGAAAGAATGGACGTCTCCTTCAATGAGATATATGAGCTTCCAACAGAACTTCCACTTCGCCTGCCACATCTTCAGCATATTAACCTCAATCACAACAGACTGTCAGAACTTCCGGAGAGTTTTGGGTTGTTATTTCATTTACGTGTCGTCCTCGTTAGCCATAACAACCTCCGCAGCCTTCCCAAATCCTTCACAAGATTAGTAAAACTGGAAAAAATTGACGTGTCTCATAATAAGCTCAAAGAACTGCCAGAAGACATTGGTGATATGGAGGTTTTGGCTAAAATCAACGTTAGTCATAACAGGTTGAGGACATTGCCCGAATCCTTAGGACAATCAGAAACTGTGCACATTGTCCTTGCGGGGCATAACAAACTGACTTACCCCCCTCAGAGCATCTGTGACGAAGGCTCTGAAGCAACTGTCAAATATTTGAAAAAGTATGCCACTAAAAAAGAACCCAAAGTAAATTTGGATAAAAATGTTTTTAAGCGAGTTCGAGGGAATCAACTGCACAGTTCTGTACCTAACCCTCAGTCAGCACAAGCTCAGTATATACAGAGTCAAACACACACAACTAATACACCAAGCCGTATCAAAACACCACTGCTGCCACCTCTGGATGCAAGTGCTCTGGATCCTCTGGACTTGAGGGACAGAATCACTGGTAAACAGCTGTTACATGCATCTCATGTTTCCCCCTCACATAATGCCTTTCTCTTCTGTAAATTTTTAGCCCCTTCTACACTGTATCACCAGTTTAGTTAACACAAGAAGCGTATCTTAAATTACTTATTATTTTTCTTTTTTATTTTATAATTGAGACATAGCTATTAACATTTAAGATTGTTTTTTCCTTAAATTCTTCATGTGAAGAGCTTTTTTTTATTTGTGATTTTTTTTTCACAAAATTAAACAAATTTTAAGTAATTTAGATATATTATAACTGGATAAAATGACATCTTTAGATTGATGAAGCAAAGAAGTTTTGTTGATTTTTTTTCAGAGAATGATGCATTTGGTAATTGGATGAAATGAGTTTTAAAATGGCTATTCTTACGATCATTAGACAACAAGATTAAACATTTTTACGCTATGAGTAGACTACTGTAAATAAATATCATTTACTGCATTTAAATAAGCGGATGAAATGAGTTTTAAAATTAGCTATTCTATGATCATTAGACAACAAGATTTAATATTTTTACACTATGAGTAGACTACTATAATTTATATTTACTGTGCAGGGTTGCTGTATGGGGCTGCCATAGGGGATGCCATAGGGCTGGCCACAGAGTTCATGCCAGTGCAAGAGGCACAATTTTACTACGAACCAGAGACCTTGACGTACAGTGACATAGTGCGCGACCAGCACAGAGTACGCTGGAGGCAGGGGGACTGGACGGTGGATTTTGATCAATGTGTGGGTACAAGTAGGAAGTAGGGGAAAACTATGAATTAATGTGAACAGTAGCGAAACTGAATCACTTGATTGCAGTATGGAATAGAAATATGAATTTTTATTTCTGAAAGGATCTTGTATTGATCAGTGCTGTTCTGCTAAGATTTTTATGTATGGATTGTATCTCCTGTTGTTGGCTGCAAGGAATCACTATTTACATCAAATTTAAAAAGAAGTTGATTAACTTTTTAGACATAAATTTTTTAGAAAACCACAATTGAAAACACGGCTGTTCTTTTAAAAAATGGAGCTGTGATTTAAACCATGCAATACTAACAGTAACTTATATCTTTTTTCTTTTCTCCCAAAATTGAAGCACTTGTTTTTTCTTTCTCCAGGCTCTGGTGCTGGATTCTCTTGACCAGTGGGGAGGCGTGGTGGATGAACTGGACTTTGCCAAAAGACTTAAGCACTGGTCAGACCATGGGTTCACCGAGTTAGGAGACTCTGAGGGCATTGTGTTCAGTAATACTATAACCAAGGTAAAACATATAACATGGGTTCAGTGAGCTGGGAGACTGAGGGAATTGTCTTCAGTAATACTATAATCAAAGTAAAATGTTGACTGAGAATTGAACATTTTTTTCATGGCTTTGTAACATGGCGTTTACCTACCAGTTGATAGAGGTGCATGTGTAGCTGTCAATTGTTCATTCCATATTTAAATAATTAAGTATGAATTGAAAGTAGAAATGTCATGTTGGAAGCAAATATAAGCCACCTTAATTAAAAAAATTTACCATATCATTGAAATATTTCTTATATTTTACTATGTCTGTTACTTTTACCCCAGGTCGTGAACACACCGTATTTCACAGAGAAGCCTCATATTGCAGCCAGGTCGCTGGTGGAGCAGTCACATGACCAGACGTGTGACCAGTCACATGACCAGTGTGATGGAGAGAACTGTAATGGTGATGTGGATATTCTCTGTGATAATGCTGCTCTGTCCAGGTGTCTTGTCCTAGGTATGAGAATGTCCTGTTGTTGTAAGTGGTTCGTCTTTCATGTACTGCACAACAAAACCATATCCTTTATAGAACTAGTGCTGTTCATTTGCCTCAAGGAGTATTTTAAGGACAGAAGTACTTGTACAGTGTTTAAACCAGATGTCACTGAAAGATTATATCTACAACTTTCAGGATGAAAAATATTATCACAATGGTGTAAGGCCCATTAAATTGTTATAAAACTATTTTTAAACCTTCTATGATAATTATGCAGTGGGCGATTAAACAGCAACAGAAAATGACACATTGACTTATTAGCAATGTTCAATATCACCCAGGTGTTCCACATTTCCATGACTACCAGGAGGTGGTTGCTAACACGCTGAGGATCTGCAAGGCCACCCACAGTGAGCCCCGGTGTCTGGCAGCAGCCGTCATGGTGGCCGCTACAGTGGCGCTGCTTTTACAGGTATGTATATACAGAAATACCTCGGCCACTCCGAACTGTCTGTACAGACATAATGCTATATGTTTTTAATGGATATGCCAGGTGTTTTAATTACTGTCACTATGCATTGTATTTTGTCATTAAAATTTGTACAGAAATTTATAACGTTATTTCCCAGGTATTCTGTATTCATTGCCATCTTCAGTAACATAGTTTGAATTTCTAGACATAACACTGCATTTGAAATTTCACATTTGAAGAATTCATAAATTCAATGAGTGTGAAAAATTGATTATTCGTTTTGGCTGATAAATCCCATGGAGTTGCCCTTTAATCTCTTCAGAAACAATGATTTAATCACCAATACACAGTTAACAATGATGAACCCTATTTCACCAGTTTTTCCCCTCCCTAGGGCAAGCATGATGTGGCTAAGCCAGAAGAGCTGGAGAAGATGATAGCAATGGCTGCTGAACTAGCCAGGAGACAGCTCACCACAGAGAAACAGTACAAGGAGTTTGATCATATTATCAGTGTTACACAGTTTGATAGGTAGGTCAGATTTAATTGTTTTAGCATGATTATTATGCAGTTTTTAGATTTTGTACACTCACACGCGTGCACACACACACACACACACACACTTGAGCCATACTTCAAGTTCCTCATTATGCATTTATTGCATGTGGTGTATACTGTTCTACTCTGCTATTTCCCCTTCCAGCCTTGACCTTACCAGTCCATCAACAATGAGTTTTGTATACACCCCACTGGCAGCTGGTCTGGCAGCACTCAGAGACCAGAGAGATTACAGGTAGTGTGTGTGTACCTAGCTGGTACAAGGAGAAACACTCATAGAAAATGTAAAAACATTCTAGGTAGTACTGGGAGGCTCATTGCTTTTTGGAAGATATTTTTACTGGTATTTTTTAATATCATAATGCTTTTTGGATGTTCTTCAGTTTTCCCATCTCACCAAAATGTAGTGAAAGTAAACTTTGTTAACAATCTCTCCAAAAGTAAATGGAAACATGGAATTTCAGTCATTTGTTGTCAAACCTGCATCTTGTTTGTCCAGTGATTATTCTCCAAGAAAGTGAACATTTGAGTCATGTCAGTTACATTTTCTGAACATTTTGCTAGCAGTGCTGTCTAATGTGCTAAACTCTCTCTCTCTGTGTTTCCAGAGACATCATCACTGCAATACATTGTCTGTAAATCTGATAGCATTGCTGTCTAATGTGTTTAACTCTTCCTGTGTATTTCCAGAGAGATCATCACAGACCTAATTATGCGTGGAGGGGACAGCAACAGCAATGCTTGTATAGCAGGGGGGTTCCTGGGGTGCAGGGTGGGTTACTCACAGCTCCCCACTCCCTGGATCACGGGGCTCAGGAACAGACAGGCAGAGTGGCTCAACGCTAAGATTAACACCCTGCTGGACATGATGGGTATACCGTAGTTTTGACACTACCCTCCAATATCAGGAGCCTCTTAAATAGTTTAATAAATTGGGGATATCATAGGTTTGTGGTCAGGCACAGATGTTGACCCTTGTCACGTCTAGTGGTACACTTTAATGGACTGGTCAATTTTGAGAGATTGTCAACTTTATAGCCTGGCTAAATCAGTGGTAAATGAATTGGATTTTTGTTGTTCAAGTTGCACCTCTACTGTCTGAGGTCAGCATCTGAACACAGCCTGGGATATTGTATTTCTAAGACAAAATACTGTATGGATATATATTGCTCAATGCAGTCAACTATGAAACTCAGACATGATTAAGGCAGACATTTCAATGTCATTTTTAGGAGGGGGAGTGTAATATCTTGTTGTATATTTTGTTATATATGTGCAAATATTACTATGAAAATGCAAGTCAATTTTTCATATATTTTCATATTTTTTATTTCTCAGCTAGTAAATGTGCAAGCTAACTTGGGAGGGAAGGATTTATATAAAGGTACATGTAATAGTACTTTCCAGAAGGGTTTGGTTTATATGGAAACAACTACATGTATTTGTGCAGGCAATTTCTAATTCTTCTTATTTTTTCTAGTCAAATGTTAACACATCTTGAGCCAAGCTGGTTACACCCTGAGTTACACCAGGTGTGCCAAGGTATGCTGATAGTGGGGGTGGTTCTCAGTTACCTCTCATACTCTGGGTGAATGGCCACATCAGAGGGTCATATCTAGTCAAGTGCTGCTTTTTTCTATTTTTTAAGAAATGTACATGTATTTTTAATGTGTATCCACCACAATGGCAACTAAATGATATATTTTATCCAGTGCAGATAACTTTGTATATATTATAGACAATATATGGTGACTTATATTAAATCTTTAAGTTGACAGTATAGATCAAGTCAGATTCTAGATGTCAAATTTTATTTCATTTTATGAAAATTTTATTTTTTATTTCCCCAAGTCGACTGGTTTTATGTCAGCCACCCCTGCCCTAAAATAACACAGACAAGTGAATGCTGTTTCATTTTGTCAAACCCCATTCTCTATACAAAGTTTAGTGATATTGTTATACATATGCCCTGAAAATATGTCCCTTTGCACATCGAGCTGTAAATCGGGTTTTGCTGATGTTTTTACATTTCTTTACTGTATATTATATTATATTATATTATATTAAATGATATAAAATGTTGGCTCATTTTTTCCACTGCTTGTGAAAGTCCCCTCTTGATGCAGTTAATGTCTGTTCAAGCTATGTAATTGTTTAACATGGGTGTTCAGTTAGTCGAGAGGTAAACTTTGTGGAAGGGATTATGAGTTTGGGGTATAACGTATTAGGGGTGATATGTTTTATCTTGGTTAGCAAAGGGGGTGTTTTATATGGGGTTTATTTTACTTTAAGTGCCATTAGATTTTTTTCAATAGTTGAATGGTAAGCGTTACCTTAATGTCCCTCAGTGATTAGATGACTGTCAACCTAAAGATTATAAGCAATGGAATGATTGGCGTTATTATTATTATTGTTCAAAGACAAAAACTGATATTTGGTTTAGACATTGTACATTCCATTTTAAGAGAAAAATTTCCCTGGTGCAGATGATTTTCATGTGGGAGTATAGTATTTTGAACAAAAGATAATTTTTGAAAATAATTTTAATAAAGTTTTGTTCAATTGTGCAGTTATCAGCTGAAAATGTATTTGAAATATACCTATTTTAGCAAAGTACATACGTGTTATTGAGCTGAGAGAAGCTACACTGGATCCACCAAACATTTTAACCAGTCCTCTACTTGCTTGTGCATATTCCTATTTACATATATGTAAACGGCTGATTACTGCTGCAATATGGTAGGTACATGAATATCACGTAGATATGTGTTATTACATGTTATAGTTTTGAAATTCTATTCTTTATGTGGTGCACTTTTGGCACGCGTCTGTTCAATATGCCCATTGTATGTGGCTGTGCTACAAGCGAACATTCCAAATACATGTGTAGGTGTGCATGAGATACAGTGATTGCTCGATCTTTTCAATGGGGGAAATTGTTATTTTTACAGATACTACATATTTTAAGTCGTGACTTCTTAAGTTAATTAGAAAATTTATGTTGAGTGGTAGGAACAATATTAAATAGCAGACAGTTTTATGATTCTGTACCACGCAGTAAAAACACCACAAACGCTGTAAAGAAATATTTGTGATTATAAAATTATGTATCTGAAAGTCTGATAATTTTTCCCATTGAAAAAGATCGAGCAATTACCGTATAGGGAGGCCAACGTTTTTACCGTCTCACAATTATGAACTGACTCATACCAGAGTTATAGAAGTCAAGTCTTGTACTTTTGATATATTTTGCTGAAGTATGAGGAGGCGGTCAGTTTTGTCATTTGTATGTTAAGAGTTGTAACTGTTATTACTGTTATTGTGATCATTGTTGTTGTAATGTTGGCTATACGTTAAAATGAACGTATTGCGGAGGGAGGATTTGAATAAAGAAAATCCACGTTGGTGAGTTAAAGAAGCGGATTGCAATATTTATGTTTAGTTGACAAAATTCGAAACAAGAATGTCAAACTGTACCTAGGATGCGATTACAACAAACTTTTTCATATTCACGCATCTAACATGTTACTTTTTATTCAAAATCACCTCCGTTTTGAGTAGCGTTTTATTCAAACTTTTTAAAAAAGATGGGCAAAACGCGTAAAGATGCAGAGTTTTTGGATGTTTGGAAAATAAGATAAAGACGTGAATCAATGGAGGAGAAGAACAATGAAGTATCGCTAACATTCTGGGTCAGGCGGAATGATTGACGTCTATTTTTGCCAATCAATACACTTTTGCCCCCAAAAGTAGAATATTCCAACGAAATATTGCATCTGTGATTCCGGTTAAGTCAATGTTATAATTTATTATAATTTCTTGTTCTTCCTTAAAGTTACAGTACATTTGGGGATTCTTTTTTCGTTTGGATACCTTATGGTGATAAAGTGTAAGTTTGGTAAATTATCGGCAATTTCAATCAAATGTCATGCTCAAGATAGCATGGATTAGGAAATAACAGAAACGTCTAAAGAATTTTATCACCGTCGAACAGAATTTTTTTTTTTTTTTTTTTTTTTTTAAGAATGAAACGAAACCCTTTGGTTTTTCTTTAAGTTATGCTATTTAGAACTATATGATGGCATTTGGTTGGAAAAGTTTTAATGCTTTGATATTTCAGTTAGCTTAAGAAGCATCTTTCAGGCCGATCTTTAAACTACGATTTGCAGCGAAAGGACTATTAACAATGCATCCGCGCCATCTAGCGGCCCATCCCCAGCGTTTAAATATCTCATTGCTACTCCACAACATGCCGCCCGTGCTGGGGTACTGGAAGCAAAGAGGGGTATGTTCATTAATGCAATTTGCATCTAACAGAACTTTTGTTATGGATGTGCCCTTTTCTTTTTGCAGATTATAACTACGCATGCTTCTAACCAAACAATCGCTGGTTTGACGTGATTTTTAACATGTAAACAGGAAAGTTAATGAGTGTCAGGGTAGTCAGTCGGCTCATGCCCTAGTTAAAGGCGGTATAAGAGATAGATCGTCTTGCCCTAGTTAGAATCTATTGTATCAAAACAACACGATTCAGAGCTGGGTACGTGAGGACCCGTGTTTTAACAGCGCCTCTTGCTGCAGGACTTAAATGCATCATTGATATGTGTATCCGTAAAGTCCCTGGTGTCTAGTATACATGAAAGATATCATGCTGATAAGGATTCCAGTGAACAGATGACTGTAAGGAAGTTATGAGACACCTCGCCTCCCGTCGTGGACATTGCTCTTGCAGTGTGGTGGGCAATGGTCAGCACAAAAATGTCGAAACCACACACACCTGGTGCTTTTGTGATCTAAAAGATCCATCAAAGGTGACTCGCCTTTGTGACAGTAAATCTTCTCGACATATAAAAGAGAGAATAGGTCACAAGCGGCTGTCACAAGCGTCACGCTGGTGATGATCTTACAGAAAGGGTCTGCATGGCTTTTAGACATACAGTGCTGCTTACATGTGTTGACTGTGATACCGCAATAAAGGTGACGGGGATATATGTTTACCACAATACTCCGTTATCACAGCTGCGAGCTGGGTAGTTTACACACGTACATGTACATGTGCGCTTTATCAAAACACGCGTATCATACTTCTTTTATATGGTCAGGTGCTGTGCTATACCTAGCTGTAGTTCATATGTGTCACATGTCATAGTACAGTGAAAACAATACCCTAAAGTGTACAACAGTTTCATCAGCTATGTTATTGTAATAAACTTGTGAAGATTCTTTTGTCTATAGCTACTTATATTTGTCTGGTCTTACCAGCCTCATTATCTGATGAAGTCTGACTGCAAGCAGACGAAATATCTAAGCTTAGGAGACTAAATCATCAAGCCTTGTGATTTGTATATAGAGATTATCATAAAAGTAGCTATTGTCGAGGCGATGTGACTATTTTATTTTCAATATGTACGTAACACCTTGGGCTCTATTCCCATAGATTTTAGATCGACCTGTCCCCGCGGGGAGTCTCACTAGATTACTTTCAGATAATCCGACTTAAATGTCCGTCCCGCCTACTACAAGCTGTAAACTTTCGTGTTCGCCCGGCTGACAGCTATTTAGCGTGAACACCCAGGGAGTTAGGTCGATCTTAAGTAGGTCGATCTTATCTATGGAGATGGGGTGCAAGAGACCTGATGCGAGTGAAGAGTCCAGATATCGTGACTGATATAAATAATTTGTCAGTTCAACTATTATGTAACACAAGATACCTGATGTCGTTGAAGAACCCTCGTATTAATTTGTGCCTTCTTTTTACGCTCTTTGAAGTCTTTCTTCATTTTACGTAAAAAAAGCTACCGTAGTTACAGTAAGTTTAAACGTAACTCAGACAAAGCAGAACCCACTTGAAATTGACTTATTCAGTCGTCTTTTTACTTTTACCAGTCTAATATAAACCTCAAAACTAACGATTTGGTGAAACGGTCGACCGCTATATTGCACAAAGTTTTTCTCTTTTAAATGCTATGTGTTTTATTTTATCGCTCACAAAATGTCTTAATAATTCCCTGTAGCTTGCCCAGCCCATCAGACTGTTGCTGAATTATGTGGAAGAAGAATACGAAGAGAAGTACTATGAGTCTGGACCAGGTCTGTCTGTCTGTTTGTCTGTCTGTATGTCTGTATGTCCATTCCTCCATCCTACTTTCTGTCTGTATCAGTTGATGTTAGAGTGAGTAAACTTTTCAACGTGAGAATGAATAAGGGATACACCAACATTCATATTTTATGCGTACCGTATTTCAATCATTTCTACAATGATCGGTATTTATTTATTTATTTATTTATTTATTTATTTATTTATTTATTTCTAACCACGTGTTTTGTTTCAGCTCCTGATTTCAGTCGTGAGTCTTGGTTGAGTGAAAAGTTCAAACTTGGATTACCGTTTCCAAATGTACGTGGATACTAAAAGTGAAACTGAATGACATAAACGGGTATAGTACACGTAGAAGGACCAAAGGTTTTCTCTAAAAATTCATAATGCTGTTTACGTTTCAATTCTTGATAGCATGAGCACATTTAAAACGCGTTTAGGACCCTGAATTTAAAATTGTCATGTGACGTCACGACGACTTCGTTCTTTAAATCTTATGACGTCATTTTGAGGGTTAACGTCATAAAATACCCACGTGACTTAAAATTTGATATCGAAACTGTCTCAACTGCCGCACTGCAGATAATTTGTATTGTTTTACCTTTCAGAACCCATACTGGATTGATGGCGATATTGCAATAGTCCAGAGTCATGCCATTCTGAAGCACCTTGGTCGAAAACATAACTTGTGTGAGTGATTGGATTTCAATATCCATCCTCAAGTATCATCACTGTTTTCCAAACCACTTTATTATTCTGCCTTAAATGTCTTTCTTTGGAACTAAGAACTGTTCCAAGTTTTCGTCAGAGGGAATGGATTTAGCATTTGCCTAATTGGGCCGTAGATCTCTATAATAAGATAATTTCAATCGTCTGCTCTTTGCTTTATAATCCAACTTCTAAGTGGATAGTATTTCAGAACTAAATAATTCATTTGAAAACGGAATTAAACTTCGAATCGAAGAGCACTTCAGCAATGACAAGTGAGTACGAGGAAATTGCTTTTTTTTCGAGAGGAAAATTCGCTTTGATGGAAAAATTTGGTATAGATTTATCTCTGAATTGGAAACATCTAGATTTTTTCTTTTATTTTTTTAGTGATTGACCTATGGAGTCATCATTAGCATTTTTCAACGTTATCATTACTGTGTGTGTGCGTGCGCGCGCACGCACGCACCATCATCAAAATCAAACTACATGTGCATGTATATTAACTTGATCCCCGTTTTCAGGTCCCACCACTGAGCAGGAAAAAATCAGATGTGATATCCTTGAACACCAGCTGGACGATTTCGTTTGGGCATTTATTTACGTCTGCTATGCTAAAAAACTTTCCAACTGGGATTACGTGAGTATTTGATGCGTGGCGGAGGTGTCTGTCATGAGATAATTTGGCTTTGTCAGTAGATATGTTATACCTATTTCTTTAAAAGGATGGGAAACAATGTATTTTAATTTGCACATTCAAAACCATGACTTAATTTTGTCCTTGTTTTAATCTAGGCGGAAAAGAGGTCCGAGTATTTGTCGAAGTTGCCAGATATGTTGAAGGAGTATTCTGAGTTCTTGGAGGACCGCCCTTGGTTTACCGGCAAGAACGTACGTAAATCAATACTTGTGTACAAATATATTTACTTGTTTATCTATATAGGCCCCTATAGATTTTAATTGAATACATGTTAGTAGTGTGTACGTGCGCACGCATGTGTGTGTGTGTGTGTGTGTGAGTGCGCTCGAGTTAGAACAATTGTTTTATTGTAAAGTTATTATATTTATTGCCTTGTGCTTTCTTCACTCCCTGTGTTTAACTTTTGTTGTCACGCACGTATGGCGCACATAATAAAATTTATTCATTAGAAAACTTCTTAAGACGAAGTATTCTTCTGAATGTGGTTGAAACTGTTACTTCTCTCTTTCAGCTCACGTACGTTGACTTTCTGGCCTACGATATCTTAGACATGCATAGGGTCTTTGCTCCTGGATGTCTTGATGACTTTAAGAACCTGGTGGACTTCATGGCAAACTTTGAAGTGAGTTGGAATATTTTACTGTGTATTCTGTCTTATGTCTCTCTAGGGCGTGGAGTAAGGTAACTTTCACGCTTACATTTCAGGCGCTGCCTACAATCAAGAAGTACATGCAATCTGATAGGTTCTTGAAAAAACCAATATGGAACAAGTATGCTGATTGGAGGGGGGATTGAAGTGGGAAAAGGAAGAACAGATAATCTGATGGGAGAGTGCTATCTAAAGCGCAGGATACTAAGAAAAGATTGTGCTGTTATTATGGTGGTATATGTACATGTTATTCCATCTTTAACTGATTTGCAATAAACCAGTATGCTTAATTTGAATATGATGATATTGCTCACAAAATTTGTCACTTTGTTAATTAAAGCATTTGAGCTCTGATGAGTAATTGCCACGGAATCCAGTGACTCGACTGGAGTTTATTTATGTTGTAAAAACAAAATGCTATCGCTCACGAAGCTATGAATTTATTTATGATGCAATAAAAACTTATGAGATCATTCTCTAATGTTTTAACAATACAAAAGGGCATATTAAGCCATATGAAATATAAGGAAAGTAATTTTAACACTGAAATGAACTTCATGTTCGTGAAGTAGAATCGTTTCTAACAGGGCATGTCTTTACACACCAATTTCCCTTCGGAGAATTTGTTGACTTATCAATTTTAATAAATCGATACAGTAGTGACATTCACGTGATTATAATCTGATGATACTGCAATTTTATTTTGCATCCGCCTGGTACATTTCTTGAACCAGGGGCTCAGAATCAAAATGTCTGATATATATTTGGGACGTCTGTCGCAATATATTTAGTCCCCAAACCATTCTTACTGAGAACAAATGAAACAAATGTTAGATATTATTTAACTCTGTTCATTAAATGCATATATATATATATATATATATATATATATATATATATATATATATATATATATATATATCGTTTTGACAAAAAATTTAGTCCCTTTGATTAAGGATGTCTGTCATTACATAATTAATCACAAATCAATTCTTACCGAAAACAAACGAAATAATTGCTGTCAGTAGGTATGATTTAACTTTGTCCATTATGTCCTATGGATAGTTCTGACAAAAGAAATCAACTTGTTATGAACAAAAAATTGACGTACGGACTCCACTGGCAAGAGTGAGAGTTTCATGAGCTGGAAGTACGACGCAGGTTGCGAAATAGGCCGTAAAATTCTTTTCTATACGTCCGCACGCTGAAACAGTACAGGAAGAAGTTCAAGGCGTGGTTCAGGTAAAACAGCAGGATGAAGACCGTGAACACTAAACTATTAACTGGCGTTTGTGTCGTAGGTTTGTCAGGGTTGAAAAGGTTTAACTCACCCACCTGCACCAAGTTAAACCCGCTGGTTAACAGAATGAACGCCACTGTGACCGTCACTAACATCACCGTGACCTCTTTATCGGGGTCACCATCTTCCCCATTGGGGTCTTCAGTGGATCCCATCACCGCCAACAAGTCTTCGTTCAAACTTGACGGCGATTCTTCACTTGGGCGTTGCTCTGTCAGGCGCCGCTTTAAAGAAACAATGAACGCGATGTTAAAGATGGGCAGTAAGAATGAGGGGACGATCCAATACAGTGATAGCGCTATCCATCTGTGCACTTGCCAGTAGGCAACTTCTGAAGCGTTTGTTTTATTCCTTAGTAAATCAACGCTGTCGTGGAACATATTCCAGCAAACCGTATTATTCCCATCCACCTTTTCCAAATATATATCAGATATAAATATGTTTATGTTCAGAAGGATAAGAACAAAAGCTAAGACACCAACGAAGATCAGTGTTCTACTGACGGTGAGGTACAAAGCGTGAACCAGGGGCCTCGCGAGCTTGATGTAACGTTCCAACGCCATGGACGTAAGCAGGATCGCGCTCAATTCGGGTCCGAAGTAGCACGCAAACACAGATATCTTGCATGTGTAGGCGTTGTACGTGAGCGCGTGAACGTGATGGCCCGAAAGATCGTACTCCAGCCAGGGGACGTACCCGTTCAGCGTTGTAAATAGGTCACCACAGGCCGCCCCCAGGAGCAGTAGACATGTTGGTGTAGTGCGGGGGTCTGAGGATACGAATCCGATCCCCCCCCCCCTCCCCACCAAGCGTGGTCTTTTAGAGGGCGAACGGTGCAATTTGGTACGGTTTAGAGCTATGATTCAGCTAGTAAAATTATAATTTCAAGAGGGGACCAGAAATCGAAGGGGTGGCTCAGCGAGGGAGTCACAACAGCGTGATATGCAGAATTACTTCACGAGTTTGGGCCTAGACAAGATACCGTTGTATCTTACATTAGATTGGACAGTATACTATACAACTATACGATTTGTAGACCTGCTAGATTCGCAAGTAATGTACGTGGCATAGCGCAGTCGGCAATCGTTACCATGAAGAATAAAGACTAGTGTCAAGACAAGTATAGTTCGCTTATGGGACTGAGGTTTAACGAGGGGAGGGGGGGGGGACGACGAGGCAGAGAAACTCAATTTAACAAATAATATCTGTGCACTCAACGACTTTAATAACTTTTTGAAACGGCACCAGGATTCCACCACAGCTGCATAACCACAGCATTTTTAAGCATTTATTCTTTTATCAGTTATCTATTTTAATGAATACTGACACGTTTCATAGGCACGTTTTATAAGCATAGTTTTTACTGGTACGTTTTAATCACCGGTTTCAGTTGAGAGGCCATTTCTTTTATCTGTTTCTATTCTCCTTCAAACTCCTAATTCTCGTACCCTCAGGAGTGACGGTCCAATTCACAGACTTGACATTTTTAAAAATTTTATACATGCTATTATGTACAATTCAATATAAACGTGAAAAACAGCAATTCCAAGTGACAAAAATAAGTTTTAACGACAGTAAACTAACATATGGAAATTTAGGCTGTTTAAGTAACAAGCGACTCAATTAGATTTTAATTCTGCTTTAAAATATACAATTTCCTTATCTATACCTATATTGGCGTTTTTGTCTAACGTCCCATTTTCATCAAATTTACACGCGATGGTTTTGAAAATGAAAGTGGTTCTACATTTTACTATCACTTTTATTTTACTTCACTTTTTAATTTGAAGGATACGGGTTGAGATGAGAGGGATCAGTTTCGTTTTTTAACCCATAACATTGGACAAGTCTTTCTTTGATCGGATACAAATACTGAGAATGTTTCTTAATAAAAATCCGCACTTTATTCGGGCTTTTACTGCTGCTTGACATTGCTTGTACGGTGTAAATGGTATACGTTATATGAACAGGAGGAAACCCGCATCTGTCTTTCTCTCTCTCTCTCTAAGAAATAAAAAAAACATTTCAAAGGTAGTTACATTGATTTCAAAAGCCAAAATGCTCTTTGTTCTTTTTTACTTCCCTTACCCGATCTTTACAATAAATTTCATTGAACTAAAATAACAACTTAAGACCAAACAAACAAACAAACAAAAAACATTAGGGCCTACAGTCGTATTACCCCAAAAGAGAAAAACAGTTCAATGTATGAAAAGCTCAACTATGGCAGATCATTCTCTGTACGGTTGCAGAAGGTGATCACCATTCGACCATCATTCAGATATTCGTTTCCGTGCACGTATAGAGGAAGGACCCCGTACGCTACGCCGTCACCGAATTCGGGTCTGGTCAGACTGATGACGTGGCGATTGAAGACGGCGTACTCTCCTTGTGTGACGTCATACCCGGTCATGTTAGTATATTGCCCCAATGGGATTGGAATGCGAACAGTTGGAACACGGTCGTCTGCACGTAGCTTTATTTCACTGTCGAATCCCAATGGCCCCGGTCTCATATAAACGTCTTCAAACTTAATGCTACTTCTTGCAGGCACTTCCATTTCCCGGTTTCGACCCTCACTCACAGTGAACTGATTGTCGATTGTAATCATCCATCCAATACTCTGAATCTTGGTAGCGTAAAAACGAACTCGTTTGCCTCGCGACTCGGTATAAAGTTTAAACTTAGCAGACTGTGGAAGAGTCATAATTGCGAATGTAAAGTTTAGTGACGTGGTCTGGAAAGACACAGGGGTTGGATCAACCCCTGACAAGCTATCATCACCAACGATCACGTCGATGCCGTACCATTCTTTCAAAAACTGTAGGAATTTCCTCCCTTCAGCTGCGATGCTGGCGTTAGTGTTTCGACCGAAATATCGGTGTACTCGGTACCATTGCTCGCTGGTGAATTCGCCGCCATTGATGCTGCCCTGACCAATCATAGTGTAGACGATGCAGAATTTTTCTCCCGCCATCACCATTGGCAATGCGAAGAAACACAGGAGGGAAAAGAGATGCAGTACCTTCAAAAATGAAACAGTGATGCAAGCTAAACGAGACACACATATATGTACGTAAAATAACGGTAAAATTAACAGTATCAAGAACACTTTATGGTTTATTAAGTGAGGTGTTTTAACATTAAAATGACAAAACTTTCGGTCCACAGTACCCAATGGTCTTTTATTTAACCGTTGCATTTAATGTCAACAACACAAGATGTGCAGCGAATCAGTAAACAAATTAACCGGAGCTGCTACGTGTATACCGTGATCAAGTGTTCTCAATACACAGTTCCATTTGAAGAAAAAAAAAACAGAAAAGTGGAAAAATGAAGTTAAAGATACATGTATATTCATGAATTCAATTGTTTAAGGCCTGGCGACAGTAATTAATAAATCTAGCCTTTTGTGTATGACATGCAAACATTTTCAGGTTCATGCATTGCTAATTTGCACAGTTTTCATATTCAGTAAATAAGGTTTGAGTAACAAAAGTTTTAAAAATTTACAATAAACATTCCAGGCACTTTCTGGCTCTTTAGCCGTCATGCTCGCTACCTAACAAGTGGCAAAATTTCTACTTTTGTACAAATGAAGTAGATCAATAGGAGAATGTGAGATGGTGCTGCGAGGGACAGCAAAGAAGGTTTGAAAATTACTCCGTTCATGTTTTTGGGCCGAACAGATAAATCTAGTAATTTTTTTCAAATGATTTAAATTGCTAGACTGATGTAAGTAAAGTTTTACTTGGACAAACAAATCTTCCGCTCGCTTATTTTTAATGAAATTAAAAAAATGTTAAATGAACCTATATTTCGAGAATGAGTAAATATGGGCACAATACTCCTAAGTAATCTTGTCTCACTCACCATGTTTCAGTGTAAATCTTCGACGCCTATTAAGATGTTCCAACGAATCTTTGGTGATATGTTTTGGTGCACCACTCTGGTCAATGGTTAACGGCAACTGCACAACGATGAAGTGCGCGCTTCAAATCGGTTGTCCCCAAATATAGTTTGAAGAAGACGATTAATGCTACCATCATAAAGTCGCAATTTTCACTTTTATCTGCACAACCCGCATGAGCAAAAATCTTTATACTTCTGACTCATTGCCAATGAAACTATCGTGCACATGAGCCGCTATACTGAGAATAGAATAACACAAATAATACCGTCTGCTCCTGGAGTCCATACACAGTGCTACATGACGTGATACCAAAATGGATCCAATGGGCAATGATTCCAACACATGGCTGAATGAATGGACAAAGGACATTTCCAAGTTATTCTATGTCTTGTTCAGTGCAAAGAATGTGGTGTTTTGTATATTTCGTTAGTTTCCACTCACTACAGCTTTGCCAGTGTTGTTGAGCTTCGTACAAAGAAAAGAGGTTATTTTGAAAAAAATGGCGCCTGTAAATTGCATCAGTTGAACCTCTATCATAAAATGCGGCAAAGAACCCAATGTCTGCGTGGATTCGGAACGACGCGGCCCTTTAATTCCAAATAACCAGCTCAAACATATTACAATATTAAAGTTCTACTAACCAGGATATTACCGCCAAATCAAATTAAACGTCGAAGACAGAAGTTCAACATGACAATATTTGAGCTTCTTATTCAGCATTAAAACATCTTATTTATAGCAAATCCAATAACATTAGTAAAATTAAACATGTTGTACAGGAATCAGAGGATGTCCGATAGAGACCTGTAGGCTTCCCTTAGAGTCCAACTGAACGTCCTTTAGGAAAGGGTTATGTTCTCTTTACATTACATTTTGTTTGCTTTTAGTTCAGATACTTGTCGTCCAGGCAGACATCGTACCCGCAACAATGACAAAGATACGGGGGACAGCGTCCGCGAGCTTTAGAGACCACGGGGGACGCCTGGATCTCCGGGATGGTGGTCACCCACAGCTTCCAACGACTTGGTATGACGTTAGAAGCAGACTTGGTGACGTCACCTAACTCGATGTATTCTTTCTTGTCTGATGTGTATGGTGGCCAGGTCGTGGTGGGAATGTCTGGTTTGTTAGGATCCCTTTATTAAACGAATGATAACTGTTCTGTACATTTGTGCATGGCATCAACATACATTGAATGTTAGAACTGAATGTAGAAAAACAAATTCCTGGAAATTCCGACAGTTTTCTTTTACTGTACGCAAATATGTTGAGAAATTTACTTCCTTTAACTCGATTTTGGGTTTTATGTTTCGTAACTGAGACGAGAAATGGCGAACTCGTACAATGGCTTTTTGCAAACATCTCTTGGTAACTATAATGTTTACACGGCTGTATGCTACTCTTTACCCAAAATAAAGTTAACTATACTTTAAGTAAGTGATTGTTGTAACACAAGTATTATCAGATCTACACTTACCCTGTTTTAGCAAAGTTTGCCCAATACTTCATCATTTCGTAAGAAATCCTCTTGTCACCGTCATCAAACTCGACGCCGTCATCAAACATTGTGGGGTGATCTGGACCAAGGAGATACGAAATGTCGTCTCCGTGGTTGGACCGATCGAACCAAGGAGGGAATTTCAAAACGTAGCCAAATGAAGGTGCCTTTGTGAGGTAGTACAGGTATGTAGAGCCACCACCTGGTGACACGTGTTTATCTGTCAGAATTGCCATCGGTCCTGCTAAATCCCAGTCCGTCAAGATGTCGACGTAGCGGTTAGCAGTGTCATATCGATTAGCTGCGTTGTTGTAGTATTCCTTCACCAGAACGTTCTCAATTTCGGCTTTGTGGCCAGGTGCGACATGCTTCGCCACATCAGGGATAAACTTGTCTCGTAATTCTGCAGGGGTGATCCCGTTATCGATGTCATGGATCAATATCGCCCCGTCTCCGTCAGTGAAACCTCCCAAACAGTCCAGAGAACGAAAGTGCTGTATGAGTTCAGAATCAGGTTTTTTAAACATGTCTGATAAGGATTCTGGAAACATATCGCCGTCGACCTCAGCGCTGTAATGGAGGGTGCCAGGGACACCTATGGTAGCAACGATACTCGCGTCTAGAAATCGTTCAGCTGTTGTTTTTCGCAGACAGTCGAGGAGTTTTGACCTCTCTGTTTCCCCGGCGTGGCAGCCTAGAATGTCGCCAATCCTTAGAGAGAGTGTTGCAGCTTTTTCCGTCGACCACGTCCAGTCTGCCCAGGCGGACCCGCTCTGAGGAATGAAACGGTGAAAGAGGCCTTTGGCTTTTGCGGTAAGAGCAAGCTGAGAGATACTGCTACCCCCGGCAGATTCCCCGAATGTAGTAACCCTGAAAAAAGATAAAAATTTTGATGGAGGCATTCGAAATGCACGTCTCCTTCAGGGTTCTTATATGCGTTAGTATTTATCTGATTAATTGAATCTACCAGGTTCGGATCATTATATCATGTAATAGCAGTGGGCAGTATTCGTTGGGTAAATGTATTTTATTCTCTCATTTGAGGTAACACAACAACGTCTCTTAAATTCGATGTAGTATATATATTTTCTAAAACATGTATTACCTTCACTGCTTTGGCCAAGCCCAAGTAGCAGAAAAGTCTCGAAAATTCAAACAAAAGACCGACAAGCAAGTAGGCCGACAGTTTAAACAGGTCACAACCATGTCAAACGTACTTTTTAGGGTCACCACCAAAGGCTCCAATGTTGTTTTGTACCCACTTCAGGCCCTCAATCTGATCCCACAGTCCCAGATTTCCAGGTGCATTAGCGCCATCTATACTCAGGAAACCAAATGGCCCCAGGCGATAATTCAATGACACAACGATAATGTCGCCTCTTGCAGCTTATCAAAATGATAGAAAATACAATTTGATTCATTGAATTTGATTTCATATTTGATATTCACATTTCTTTCTTTCTTATATTTTCTTTCCATTTTTATATACATGTAGATGCACTGACAAAGAGCAGATTACACATGTATATAACCCATTAAGGGCCACACAGTGGACCTACCGAATTCGGTGAAATCATAGTGAAAACTGCCCCCTGTGTAGTAGCCTCCGCCATGAATCCAGACCATTACAGCTTTGACGCCAGGGGTATCGGGAACAAAAACGTTGAGTGTCAGGCAATCTTCAGATATCTGAAGTTGATAAATAATTTTACATGACGCATATGTCTCCTCCATAAACTCCATACCAATATCGATAGCTTTGGATCAATAATTCATGACAGAGTGCCCAAAGGGGAAGAAGAAAACTAGAGGATCAGAAAGGTGATAACACCTCCGGATATTGTACCACCACCTGAAGTAAGCGCATTCGTATGGGAAACAAAAAAAAAAAAAAAGAAAAAAAAAAAAAAAAAGGGACACCACCACCAGTGTTGTGCTTGACAAGCTCTGCTAAATGCAAAAAACAAGAGTTCTCGAAATATGCAGAAAGAAGTGAAAAAACAGCATAATTGTAAAAATGGTCCGATCAAGCCGATTTTCGTAACATTGATCATTCCTTGGGATTTCAAGACAATAGGTCTATCGGTTTTTTTTAATGTGATATCGGTGTTGCATATATGCTGAAAAAAGAGAAAACCCAGGGGCAACACTGGGCGTATCTCTGCCAGTTTTGGAGATATAAGGGACAGAAATTTCATGGTGAAAAGTAAGTCAAAGGTCAATTTCAAGGTCACAGATTGCCAGTATATGATTTCCTATTCAAGTTCAATAGTAACTATGGGTGTATCTCTGCCAGATTTGGAGAAAACTTGCAAAGTGCAGTTCATCATGAAAAGAAGGTCAAAGGTCTATTTCAAGGTCACAGTTAGATTGCCAGTAAATGACTTCCTATTGAAGTTAAATAATAACTATGGCAACTATGGTTGTATCCCTGCCAATTTTGGAGTATTTCACATTTTATTTTCACCACTGAATATTGCGACGGTGTACTTTTTGATATAGTGCAACCCTTGACAAGCTCTACAAAATGCAAAAAAAAGAAAAGGTTTCTAGCATTTACGGTTCCAGAATTAGAGAGAGTTTTCAGTTTCGGCATCTATTGGCTGCTTCTCCCCTGAAAATGCACCGATTGACCCCAAACTCCAAGAGATGAAAGAAGTCCCTTCACTAAACATGAAAATTCCCAGACACAAGCCTAAAATTTTCCGTACCGTTAGCTTGCGGCCAACCTGGTCTAAGGTCTTCATCAGACTGACGTGAGTAGTTGTTCACACTCACTGACCGCTAGGTGGTATAGCGGCCAGGACCCTCTTATGTTTAGATCATGTTTATCCAACAACCAAGCTAATGAACATTTTTGCTCAAGTCCCTGTTTTATGAGAGCTTAGGTCTATGTAGTTTCTGAAAATTGGGAAAACCCAATTTTTTGCAGAAAATTCCCATTTTTAGAAAATTTTGGCCCGTTTGACCTTGACATAAAGGTCAAAGGTCAAATCCAAGGGCATATTTGAAATCTCCACATATGACTCTCGGACAGACTTCTGCAGTAATTTTCCCCATAATTCCTTCGGTTTGGATGGGAGATATTTTACATTGAATTTTCAAAAATTTTGACAAGGTTGCGTTTCAACGAGCGTCACGCCCAGGCCAATGTACCGACTGAGACAAAAAAAAAAAAAAAATGGGGCTACAGGTACTTGCGGTCTAGGAGGAGAAGCGGTAACGGTGACTTGTGTCTCACGAAATCCTGCGGAGCCGCAGGAGCGGGCGGAACTGTACGAGACAGGTCAGGACAAAAACAATTAAGATTTCTACACCTAAATCCCACGTAATGGTGTTTATGATTATGATTACATAATACAGTAGGATGTGAACTTGGTATACACTGTACCCACGTTTTCGGGACAGGAAATCCAAAAGGGTTGGGTCTCTGCATTTCATAAAAGAACTTTTGTTTTTAATTAATTTTAAAACATTAAATATAAAGTTACTAAACCTACTTTCTTCGGATTAGGAAATCCAAAAGGGTTGGGTCTCTGCATGCAAGCTGGACCATACGCCGTGGCGTCTTTCACCCCTGCCCAGCGGTTTGCAGGCTGGGGCTTTGCAAATCTAAGGTTCCCAATTGGAGGTTTGGCAAAGGGAATTCCTAAAAATTCGTTCACAGTTGTCCCGTTCACTGTTTTGCTGAAACCTCGTATTCTACCGGTTCTGATGGTGACCTCTAACTGGCTGTTTACTACAGTTACTGACAAAAAAAGCAAAGGCAGGTATGGAATCCACCAAGCCATTTTACGAGAGTAACTAAAAACACGTTCGTGACTCAGTGTTTTCTACAGTGTTTGTGTTATGGCTATATCTTATCATGCTTCCTGAATCAGGTCAGAGTAACGTGTCTGCTACACTACGACTGGGTTCCCATACTTAGATCCATCCAACTGGATCGGCCTAACTCCCTGGGGGTTCACGCTAAATTGCTATCAGCTCAAGAGGCTCAAATGCCTCTCACGTGTACCGAATCAGCTAGGGGTAAAGACTAACACTAACAGCTTTACTAGGCGTGACAGACGTTTAAGCTGGTTAGTTTGATAGCAATGTAGTGAGACTCCCCAGGAAGATAGATCGATCCAAAAATCTGTGGGAATGGTCCCTATGATGATATACTGTGCGACCTAAACAAATGGTCCATTCTCTACCATAGCAATTCTATGAGCTTTGTTTGTCTATGTTGAATTTTTAAATGTGAAACAGTTATACCATGTACGTTAATCAGGGGCGGATCCAAGATTATCTGATTTTTTTTTTTTTGGGGGGGGGGG